AGTTTTAGCGATTAGGTTGACTAATATTTTAGCTAAAATCTGGGAGTTAGACGTTATCCCATCTAACTGGTCACAATCACCTATAGTCCCAATATTTAAGAAAGGGTCAAAATCATCCTGTGACAACCATAGAGGGATTAGTTTGCCTAACTAACTCGTGAACTGCACACACGCGAAAATCAAGATGGCTTCAGATCTGGTCGTGGATGCATAAACCACATATTCACCATTCGTCAGGTTCTAGAACACAGACATACTTATCGGCGTCCGACAATGGTCGTCTTTCTCGACTTAAAAGCAGCATTTGACTTCGTAGACCGAGAAATTCTGTGGCAGTGTCTGTCATTGAAAGGCGTACCTCAGAAGTACATAAACCTTGTAAAGGCTCTTTACTCGAACACTACTAGTCAAGTCAGAGTTTATGGCGAACTGTCATCTGCTCTCGCAACCTCAAGTGGTGTCCGTCAAGGCTGCCCACTTTCTCCATTTTTGTTTAACTTCATCATAGACCTACTGATGGAAATAACGTTCTCATCGACTGAATTCTCGGGCGTTGATCTCGGGTAGCATTGAGCAACAATACCAGAATGTTTGGAATGAGCTTCTCTCCCTCTAAATACAAGTTGTTGCTTCAGGACTGGTCTGCGTCAACACCTGAACTAAGGATAGGAAGTGAGGTAGTCGAACGCGTTGACAACTTCACTTATCTTGGAAGTCTGATCAGCCCTAATGGATTGGTATCTCACGAAATCTCAACACGGATTCGAAAAGCTCGTTTTGGCCTTTGCCAACTTACGTCATCTATGGAGAAGGCGAGATATCCGTCTATCAATTAAGGGACGAGTATACTGCGCGGCAGTTCGTTCCGTCCTTTTATACGGCTGCGAAACATGGCCTTTAAGAGGGGAAGATATTCGTAAGTTACTAGTATTTGACCACAGGTGCCTTAGAAATATTGCGGGTATCTGCTGGGATCACCGGGTAAGTAATAGTGAGGTTAGACGCAGAGTACTAGAAAATGATGGTAAATCAGTTGATGAGGTTATGAATCTTCATCGACTGAGATGGTTGGGCCACGTGTTGCATATGTCTGAACACCGATTACCACGACGCGCAATGCTAACAGGTGTTAGAGATGATTGGAAGAAAGTTAGAGGCAGCGAAACCGAAACGTTACATCAGTGCTTGAAGTCACTAACTTCTGGTCTGAGCCATGTTGGTAGATTCAGACTGCCTGGTTGGGTTCCGCGAGACTGTCGTTACCAATGGTTGGAGACTCTTGGTGACATGGCTCAGGATCGATCACAATGGCGTCGGTGTATACACTCTGTCTTCCTTTAAACTAAGAGATTAAAATCACTTCAAATCTTTCTTTCTAGGAATTAATTCTTTCTTCCTGTACTATGTCCTTATACACAATGTTTCTTGTATATATTACCACCACTGAATTAACTACTTCTATGAATCCGGTGTTCATCTTGTTGTGCTAATGCGGTATGGCAACTTGGACCGATGCATATACGTGCCTGGTCCTACATTGCAACTGACTGACTGACCTTTTACAACGGATAATTTTCATTCCCATAACGCGATGCTTTTCCTTTTGTTTTATATCTGGTACTTTATAAAATTTATTTGTATGGATGTGCGCAGTTGGTGTTGGTCACGTGTGATGTGGTAGCTTGTAATTGTTGCTCTATTTCTAATAGACTAAACACCTAACCAGTGGATCACTTGAGTGTGTATATGTACAAATGAAGTCGATTGTTAGGTGTGCTTTGTCACATTGCCGACCAGATTTAACAACCCTATTCAAGTCTTCTTCCTCAAGCTTGGCTGTTACGAATTTAAATGTATGGGAAAGAGCTGAGTTGTTTTCAGGTAAACAGTCTAATAAAAAAAATTAGGGAATTTTTAAAATGCTTATCAAAATTCAGGATCTTGTTATTCTGAATTGTGGGAGCATTCTTTACCGACATTGCATCGAAAATTCAACGACGTTTTAATATCTAATCTATAGGCATTAAATTGTTGCTTAATTTGATAGGAAACTGTAATGGATTGTCTAAATTCAACTAATATTTCAGTCAGTTTGTCTTATGATGTTACATCAACACTTCCTCAATGATCTCTAGAGTCAGTTCTTTAACTTTCACTGTGTTTTCCTTTTCGTAGATAGTTTCAGCTTTCTCAACTACCTTAAGGTTTAGTCATCTAGTTTCATCACATTTAGACTCAAAAGAATGAAATTGACTGATAATCCATCATAATTCTATCGGTCCTCGGTTCGGCAGCTCTCCCTACTCTGCCGTTGAGTCAAGAACACAATAATCAGGCTCCATTATACGAATATTATACTTCATGCATACTTAATTTATATATAGACACGTACCCGACCACATCACACCATAAAATGAAATATATATAACATTTCTTCGTTCAATACCCGTGGGTGGGATGAATATGACCTTATTGTATTTGTTTACCTTTGGCAGTATAAGTTTCAGTCATCGGTGATCTGTTACTAGTATCATTTTACATTTGATGATATAATAGGGGTGCTAGTAGTTGTCCATCATTCTGGAATTAAAACATTGTCGTACGACCTAAAAAGACATGAAATGCGTAAGGCCATTATCAAGATACAAGTCTACTATCAGTTGTGTCGAAGTCGCTGGGTTCCACTGTTTCTTATAACCCGGATTTATGCTCCGAAAATGTCAGAACTACATTTCCTATATGTTGACATATAATAAATCACCTGATGATCCATTAAATAGAAAAAATTAATAATCGACATATCTGTATCAGATATTTTAAGGAAACCTGTTGGTCTGATCTAACCTCAAGACAGTCTGAAATGTCTTCGGAACACAAGTGATCACTGACCAGGCACATATAAACGTCGGTCCAAGTTTCCAAAACTCATTAACATAACAAGATGAACGAATTCATAGAAGCAGTTACTTCAATGGTAGTAAAAACGTTTCATATGAGGATGTGATACAGGGAGATAGGAAGGTATGAAGTAATTTTAATCTCAAGGTTTAAGGGAAGACAAAGAGTGTAAACACCGGCGCCATTGTGATCGATTCTGAGCCATGTCAACCACAGTCTCCAACCATTGGTTACAATAGTCACGCGGACGGATATCTCGCCTTCTCCATAGATGACGTAAGTTGGCAAAGGCCAAAACGAGCTTTTCGAATCCGTGTTGAGATTTCGTGAGATACCAATCCATTAGGGCTGATCAGACTTCCAAGATAAGTGAAGTTGTCAACGCGTTCGACTACCTCACTTCCTATCCTTAGTTCAGGTGTTGACGCAGACCAGTCCTGAAGCAACAACTTGTATTTAGAGGGAGAGAAGCTCATTCCAAACATTCTGGTATTGTTGCTCAATGCTACCCGAGATCAACGCCCGAGAATTCAGTCGATGAGAACGTTATTTCCATCAGTAGGTCTATGATGAAGTTAAACAAAAATGGAGAAAGTGGGCAGCCTTGACGGACACCACTTGAGGTTGCGAGAGCAGATGACAGTTCGCCATAAACTCTGACTTGACTAGTAGTGTTCGAGTAAAGAGCCTTTACAAGGTTTATGTACTTCTGAGGTACGCCTTTCAATGACAGACACTGCCACAGAATTTCTCGGTCTACGAAGTCAAATGCTGCTTTTAAGTCGAGAAAGACGACCATTGTCGGACGCCGATAAGTATGTCTGTGTTCTAGAACCTGACGAATGGTGAATATGTGGTTTATGCATCCACGACCAGATCTGAAGCCATCTTGATTTTCGCGTGTGTGCAGTTCACGAGTTAGTTAGGCAAACTAATCCCTCTATGGTTGTCACAGGATGATTTTGACCCTTTCTTAAATATTGGGACTATAGGTGATTGTGACCAGTTAGATGGGATAACGTCTAACTCCCAGATTTTAGCTAAAATATTAGTCAACCTAATCGCTAAAACTAGACCACTACCCTTAAAGACTTCTGGAGCCAATCCATCTGGACCAGCTGCCCTTCATCGTTTCAGATTAACTATAGCCTTTTGAACTTCAGGTAGAGATGGGGGACCTACTTCAATGTTCCATTCACACTGTCTGGGAATAGAGGGTAGTTGTAGAGTAGCTGAAGGCCAGCTGAACTGCTCCTTAAATTGTTCCGCCCATCGTTTTAAGCGTCTGGGCTGGGAGTAGATGAGAGTGTCGTCTTTTTCCGTGATAGTCTAACTTACACTTGACTTTTCAACTCCAGTTTCTTTTATTAGTCTGTAGAGCTGTCGTGTGTTCCCTATAGCCGCCGCCCTTTCCATCTCTTTTTCTTTCGTTGCCCACCACTGCTCACGGTCGTTGCTTAGACTTTTGCATAACCTAGATCTGATTTCTTTACGCTCTTCATTGTGTTCGGAGCCTGATGGGATGAGTTTGCGAGAATCCATCAATGCAATAGACCTTGGAGAAATCCATTGGTTCTTTGTAACCCTGTGGTTTAAATCACTAATAGATGTCATTGCTGTTTCCACAGCTGCTTGTATAACTTTCCAAGCAACATCTGGGTCAGCCTCGTTTTCTGAACTACCTAAGTGTGACCTCAGTTGTTCATGGAACCTACTTTTGGTTTTCTCATTACTCAATTCGGTTCTAATGAGTCTTTTTTGTCTGGCTTTTTTGTCTGGCTCTTTTGCGTCCAGTGAGGCGCAAGCAGATGCATACTCGTATTAGGGCATAGTCGGAGTCCAAGCAGGTACTCCAGAATGAGCGACAATCTTCTATTGACCCTCTCCAACGATGACTGATGGCAATATGATCTATTTGAGTGCATCGTAGGTTTGGTGCCGAGGGTCTCCATGTTAGACGATATCTCTCCTTTATGCTTGAGATTTGTGTTTGCTAAAAATAAACGATTTTCTGAGCACAGTTGCAGCAGACGATCACCATTAGCTGTTCGCTGTGCCGGAATACTAAAGTACCCACCCAAATGTTGTAAAAGAACACCAACAAGAAAGTCCAATCGTATTATCGATCACAGTTGGCAAAAGAACAAAAACTGATAATGAAGAAAAATCATATTTATGAATTAGGGAAAAGTTAAAATAAATGAAGTGACTGTAAATGTATCATATTTTCAGTCACCAGTTATACGCAGTTTCAGAAGTATTACAAAATGACAATTTAACATAGTACACGTGAATAGAAGTGATCACCTAGAGTCGTGTGCATGTAAAGATAAAAATCCAAAAGGCAATAAAAAGTGTCATATTCAACATACAAACAATTCGGACAAAGACCCAACTAATCAACGATATTTAATGGGGCACCATAGTCAATGTTTATTCCTAGATTGGCAAAACTCTAAAAAAAAGATTTCGAAAAAAATATAATATTAGGATATTATTAGATAAAACTGAATATGAAGCACTTAGGTGTACATCAACGATAGTATAGATGAAAATTCAGCTTGATTAGTGTGTCTTCTCAAATTAAAAATAAATATCTCACTACACTGTGAATCACATTGACAAATTTAATAGAAAATGTTTTGAAGAAATTACCAACCCGTTTGCTAGATTGTGAGAGCAATATTATAAGCGAAAATAAAAAACTACGATAGCATTCACTCTATACTTCGCATTAATCAATTTTATTTGTTTGTTTTAATTATACTATTCATTGTGATGACTGTCATGGGTATTATTCCCATTTCTCTCTCCTTGCTGTGCTGAGTTGAGGTATGGTAACTTGGACAATACACATCTGTGTTGAAAATGAATTTCCAATCCAACAGCGAGAGTAGCAAATGAGCAAAGTAATCAACGGAATAACTACAAAATGATGAAGTATCTGATGAAATGGATAAAAACTTTCACTTAAAAACATTGACAAGTCAATCCAACATGAAAAAAGAGACACAAATAACTAATTTTATGTACACAATAAGTATTTGTTTTGATTATATATATGAGAAACATAAATCAAAGTGGTATGTGAAACCTTGAAATCACTTTTGAGCAACGATTCAGAAGACACTAAGAAGAAGTGGTTTGTTTGAAAACCCCTTGAATATTTTTTTCCATAAATGAAGTTCATACTTAAACATTAGCTTTAGTAATTTAAAAACACTTTGCACATGTCATTACATCAGTTACATAAATTAAGTTTCCTGTCATCAAAATAGGCTATAAGAAAGCGTGGAGATGATGCTGCGAGTACGGAAGCTGTTATTGTACTTGCTGGGAGCATCTTTAAGATTAATATTATTTAATTCGCGAAAATAATTAAAACAATATTACAAAAAGCAAACAAATTTACCGCAGTAAGATAATCATTAGCTGAACAAACAGTGGTTTTAGAATCAATTTTCCTTTGAATATCAGTCGGATATATATTATCAGATGGCTTTTCATCGGAGACAGCCAGTTTATTAAAATCGTTTCCAAGACTACCTCTATTTGAACGATTTTCATTTGATGTTGTATAGTTATTTTGATTTTGTGGTTGTGCTCCATTCCTATTGTGATTTATCATTTTCATCAAACGATATTCATCAGATTGCTTCTGAATTGAATGAAAGTAATCAAATAACTCATTAAAGTTGATGTACACACTAACTACATTCTGTGCAGACTGGGAACCTTTTGAAATCCGACTACTTAAAAAAGAGTGGATCAATACAAAAAGTAATGGTTTTAAAATTCATACCTTATAATAATAAATATTAGTTCAATATGGAAATCCTATTCACGATAACTAAATCATTATACACAAATCGAATGAATAACAGTCCACTATGACAATTTTGCTTTTATTATACTAAACAGACTAACACTCAAGGGGACTCCACTTTATTAAATTTTGGGATATCAAACTACTTTCTATTAGTAAGTAGCATAGATAGTTACCCACATTTGCTATATAAAGCCAGTAGGTGTGAATTCATTAGGTCGCAAACACATTTAACTTATAACGGATTGCAGTAATGCATAAAAATCTCAAAAATTGAGAATAAGACATACTAAATCATACAACACAGGCAAAAATCAGAATAAAATGACTACTATTAATAGAGAATTCTTTAAACATGACATTCAATACAAAAGAACAAAAACAGTCAGTCATAACAGTAATGGGAAAATCCCTACCCTGTGTCTCATTAAAGAATTTAACGTTTTAAAACATTGTCAAGTAGGTAATATAACTCTTGAAAGATAATCATAAGATTTCAAACACTGGAAAATAAAATGCTAATCACATCCAGCTATACTTAAATGAGTTCTTGTTATACCATGTAGGTCATTGTTAACATTTAATAACGCTCCAAGTCAATATTTAATTCTCCGTGTTTCAGATCTTATAATTGCACAGAGCATCTGGAAATAAATAGAAACTAAAGAAAATAATTATTACACTGGATTATCTGAAATATATTCCACAGGTGGTAAGCATTGTAAGCGTCGCCAAAGTGTCTGAAAGGCATCTGTTTGTGGAAGACACATAAGTAGGCAATATAAAGTTTCGCGAAGATCAGCACTGAATCGTTTATCAAGCATATGCATCCGAAGACCTGAAAAATGAAACATTATGTCTTAACTGTGTATTGTGTTTCTTTAGCGAGTAATATTTCGAAATTTACCATACGTAAGTATATGCCAAACTACGTAAAAATTACCAATTTTAATTTGCTAAAATAGTATTCTTTAGTGAGATATAAAGCAGCTAGTTAATTAAAAAACTTGTCACGAGTTAGAAATCAGATATTGAAGGGAAGTTATGTAATGGTCGGTTAGTGAAAAATGGTAAGGCGAAATAATGATCCACTTGATAGTTATTAAGAACAGAATTATTAAAAGTTGTAATGATTGCTAGTTAATAGTTATGAAAACAACTGGAAAGGAGTAGGAATGATAAAATAAATAAAAACGATAGATTATGAAAGACAGAAAGCGAGGTTAGGGTCATGGATGAATCAGTAATTGAGCATACTGTTTCTGTACGCAAAGGTTAGGTTAAAACTAGTGGATAGCAATAGCCTCTGCTGTACATAAGTTTTTCATTTGCATTCTCATTGAGCCAACTCCTTCTGACTGTATGTAAAATTCTAAAGGAGGCTTCTAGCGAAGAAAAAAGTTAGCTCAATAAGAATATATACTGAAGATAAACTTGTCACAGTACATTTAAACCCTTAGAATTCAAAATACTCTTTAAACAAACATGAGAGAACCGCACAAATCATAAAAGTAATGATAACACAAATTGAACGATATTATGATTATCTCACTATTCAACGACATCACCTGATTTGTTAGAACTGAAGGCTAATACATGACAAAATGCACTAACACCGAACCAATTTCAGTAAAATAACCTTTGCATGTCTGACAAAATGCATGAAAACTCCCTGGATCTGATTACACATTAATTTAGAAAAATTATAATATGGTATTGTGCAAACAGACAGATACGTAATGAAAAAGGTATATAAGTAGGTGACTTAATTTAAACAATTCTCAATATTATCATCGATGTATAAACTTACTGGAGAATATTGGTGATTCTATCATTTGAATTAGCTGATCCATATCACAGAGAGTTTCAACAGTAATAACAATATCTCCGCTTAGTCAGAAACAAAATAATATCGTTAAGAAATAAAGCTAACGCATGCAGCAGAATGTAATATGCAGAACGCACTACCTTACGCATAAAAATCCATTGCCTATTTGAACGAAGTATCGTTTAGTTGACATGTGATTGTTTATCAAATCTCCTTCTCTATTCTAATTAATAAAATACAATAAAGCTACAACACCGGTTTCTTTATACGCAACGCACAAACGAACAATGATATTTATCCGATTATCAACACTATGAGTTTTATGAAAATTCATAACTGTTTGTAACATACAGAAATGAATCAATGAGATTGTAAATTATTTTGAAAAAAAAACGTATATCTCAACGCATACGTAACCGGGATAGTTTTTGAATGAGGTAAAATTGTGAACGAAGTAATGGTTTACATATTATTTAGATATGGTAACCAAATGTATATTACTTATCAAAAAATGATACTTGATATTATGGCACTATGATGTGACTTGTTTAATTCTGAAGTCAGGAAAGGAAGTAAATTTTGTCAAAAATCACCAAAAGCATCCTTCAGTTCTTCAGACATAGTAATTCCACTAGTAGGATAACGGTTTGGATTTCACTCTATCTACCGCGATTATTGGTCAAAGGAGTTCATTTACCTTGCATACAGCAGGTGTAATTAACAGAGTGATCTGAATATTTTTGCGAAGCTGCCAAGTCCACTTCCTTCCTTAGAATTCATTGCAAAATGTGTAGCTTTATTAAACTCGAGATACGACATGTGGTAAGTTATACCACTACTATCTTCAATCGATTAACTCGTCTGTTAACTACGATGAATAGAATACAACGATACCAGAAATAATTGTTGCATGCTCTTTGTACGTACAACATATTTACAAATGTCCTTTTAAATCTCAAACTATAGATTAGTTCTATTCAATGATAAATCATTAAAAAACTAACCATTTTATTTATTTTATATGCTTTTAAAAAACTGATTAAAAATTAAATCCACATTGTTAAAATTTTACTTTTTTCCAATTAAAAGGATACAATGATTTCACTAAACGGCTACAATGTTTATAATTTTCAGTTAGCATACATAGTGCTAACAGAGAAACAGGATTATAACACCAAGCACGATACAGTTTTTCAAACAACTGACATTGGGCCTAAAATATGTACATACGATGTAGAGAATGTAGATATTTATTTTGTAAAATAAAAAAGGAAAATAAACAAATCTTTTGAATATAAAGATATATTGTGAAAAAAATATATTTGTACAACAATGTAGAGATTGAAATCAGTCGTGTGGCATATTTAAAGTACTGTCAGTATCATTAGGCATAATTGTTTGGATGAGCTAAAGTGATGTCAGTACACGGACGTGTCTCACAATAATATTGTTGTTTAGCATATATTTTTATGTTACTTAACTATATAAAGTGGGGACTATGTTATATATAAGGGAAATTGTGATTATTTAACAAACCACTTATAGCTCGATTTTATTGTTTGACAAAGAGACATTCGGTGGGTTAGGATTATTCCTCAACATCAAGTATTGTTGTTGCTCAATAAAGTATATCCTATTGGATGATTGATAAGCGTAATAACTAGAATTAATTTTTAATCAGGTAATCTACTCTTACATTAGTGTAAAATTTTATCATCACGAAAGATTGACTTATACTGGCACTAGCTCTTTTTGGATAAGTAAAGAGCTTATAAAATAAACACATAGTAATCCTATGAGTTACATCAGATTAGCTCGAACGACAAATTATGTTCATTCATATTTACAAATGAATAAGTCCGTCTGTTGTCTATCTTTATCTATGTTCCAACTGATTTTATCTTATATAAAAACTGAGTGATGTTTAACTCAACAATTTGGCTCAGGCTGTAATCATTCGCTTGTATGGTTTTAGGAACATAATAGCCTCAAAACATTTAGTATTCGACTTTTGATATCCCATTACTTAATTTAATCTAGTTTCAAAACAATATTGGTCGAAAGAGTTTTATGAAATCAATTCGGTGTATATTTTGAGAATCAATAAAACTTTTGGCAACCCAGAATAAGTGGCTAGCAGTTAAAAAAACTTCTCCGAAGCTAGAAGACCGACCTTTTCCCTGAAGCATATACTGTTTAAAAACGAATTAATTCGAACAATCAAGCCTTATTAGGTCACATTTACTAGTACAGAGAAAAAATAAAGAAGTAAAACCTTTAAACAATCGACTAAGGCAAAACATCGAATAGCACTAATAGATGTTAGCGAAATCAAATATTAACATATTTTGTGATTATCACTTGGTGAAAATATACCAATACTTATAAATGACCACTACCTATTGCCTCTTACCTTCGTATTAATACAACGTAATTGTTTACGGAAATTATGTAACACTGGTTGAGTTAAAAGAATTCGATTCAACGCTTGTACCAGTACAAATGCAGACTCCAATGGTTTAATGAAAGAAATAATTGTTGAAACGGTGCAGTAAACCGTATCAGCACCAAGAACTTGACAGAGATCGCTAACAAAATAGTAAAAACAAAATAAATAAAGTATTTAATAAACGTGCTGATTATGAACAACTTACTTGACAAGTCTGATAGTGTAGTGAACGAGAACACAAGTGGGAACAATCGAATGTATTTGATCACAAAATTACAGAATCTCTTAGTAAAATTTGGGAGTCATACAATATATACTTCATTTGCAAAATTTTAATCAGTTTTCTCAGATCTCATTGTTCTTTCGTTTCAAAAGCTTCTGCCTACAGGCATTTCATTTTCGACTGATACATACTACTAATATCTGTCGATATCAGTAGCACACATCACAATAGGACCAAGGGGGAATATTGAGGGTTTATATTCAGTAACATTCTAATGTCATAAAAGATGACGATTAATGCCTATGATCGGTTAGGAAAGTGACATCTCTGGGAGTCAAAACACAAATTCAACAGTCGGCAACTTTAGTTAAGTTAGTGAATAAAACAGGACGTATTACAAAAAAGAACACCTCAGACCAAATACTAAAGATTACATCTCCCTGTTGGGCCTTGAAATAAAATGGGCTAAACTTAAGTCTAATAGGTTAGTGAAACTGAACCGCAGCTTCCATTATATGTAGTCTCAAATTTTGAAAAATACAAACTGTCAAATTTTAACTTGGTGTTTTACGCGAAATATGAGGACGCTCTATTTGATCCAATATGGGGTCGATAGTACATGTTACATTGAAGTTCAATATTACAACCAAACATTCCTACGATTTACGACCACTTATTCATCAGTTATTCGATTCCTTAACTGATTCCAGGTTTTCTAAGACGGAGCGAATAAATGAAAGTGTAAAACTTTGATATGTATTCTTTAAGGAGGCTTTGTATAAATATATTTTAATATATATACATTACACGATTGGCTTATGGTATTTTTTTAATTGTCTTAATTGTACGCTTTTATTTGACTCATTAACCGTTGTTATATATTTTACCATCCATAAAATTAATCAGAAGCCTGCTACTCAGTTGTGTACCGAAAATGTCCTTGTTAGTCGCATACTGAGTTGATCATTTATGGCGTACCATGGTCTTGTACTTTGTAAATAGAATGACATGAGCTTTAAAGTTTGAATCACACAGAATATTAGGATCCTTCTTTAGTTTTGACTGGTAGATTGGGGAGGGGTGAGACTATCGCACAACAATCGATCGTTTAACGCAAACAGCAAATACGTTAGAGGATTCATAATGGGCAGAAGCACAAGAACATCATAAAAGGGTTGTGATGAAAGTTATTTACAAATTAAAGAATACCTACTCAGGTTAACTGAAATTTTGATTAATAATCATTACTTTTTAAGGATATATGGTAAACATAATCAACATCTCAGTTGTAAATATTAAAAGATCATGTGTTCCACGAGATTCAGTAAGTACTCTAGGGCAGAAAAATATCAACCTATCAGAGAGAAACCAAGTACGCATGATCCGTCTACTTATGTAAATAAAACATTCCTTAATATTGAAGTCTTAAAAAATAGGTTTAGAAAATTATACGATCCATTAGTTCAACAAAAGCACTTGACATCAATCCTAATGAAAAATAGAAACGGGAAATGATCGTTATTTCTTATTTAAAATCAAATTCGTTGGTTGTACTGACATCAGATCATGAAGAATGACCAACCATTCGGGTAAAGCACACACAGATCCAATGAATTTGAAACAAATAGTTTATACTACTACACAGAAACTACGCTTATTCATGGTTTTGATAACTGGATATATCTTAGTAAACATTTCATAGGACTGACACTGAAAAGAAAAATTATTCAATAGATTATTCTTATTTGGTTGATAAAGTATTTTCATTATTATTGAAAGTATCGACATTTGCAAAGCCTTCAAGTAAGCGTATGTTGTGTGGTAATAACGAGTTTTTAATGAGAATTGTTACTGAAGAAAAGATCTTGTTTAGAAACACTTTTCCCATCAAATTAAGTAATTCAAACCAACACTGGTTGTGAAAAATTGATAAAATTTTCATGACAGTAACATAAAATCAACCCATAAAACTAATTACGTAATAATCATATCTCCACGTTTCCGTAATAATTCTGAATCTTTGTTAAACAATTCGACTAAGTCCAAAAGAAATCGTAAACAAAATGTATTTGGAGCAGATGATGACGGTAATGATTCTTGAGATGAAGTCTCCATTGAACAATCAGAAATCTGACTATTATTTTCTCCATTCACTACAGCCGGATCATGAAGCAACTTAACCAGTTCTTGAGGTAAAATAACAGATTCTTTATTCTGATAATTATTACCAACAGCAGTAGTATGGTGACTGAGTTTTCCAATCAATGAAATAGTAGAATGCACCATCTATAAAAATAGATTTTAAAAGGTCATGCATGAAATAAAGACAAAATTGCTGATATCATTCCTAGACAAAATTTAACTGATTTCCACTGTATAACTTACTTCATCAGCAGGATCAGAAACTAGTTTGAGCATTTCCGGTAAAAGACGATCAACATGAGAAAAAACATCAGCTGAACAAACTTCTGCAAGTACGGTAATCCAGCGTAGTGCTGCCAAGCGAGTAAATAAACTTGAATTATTAAGAAGTTGAAAAGTAGCTTCTAAGATTGCATCTGTGCACAAAATTCGTGAACTGTTTTGTTCACCAGATAGTGAATCAGTTGTAGTGTTAAGAGATGAGTCTGTAAACTGTTTAGTTGAACTTTCAGCCTGTGAACTATAAAAAATATAGACAAAATAATTTGGTAATGTCAAGGTTGTTTGGTTCCGTAAAGAAGATTTATACAAACACCCCATATTGTTATTATTTTAAAAGACAAACAAAACTATCCTAGAAACCTGTTACAAAGAAGCATCAGGAAACGCGTCACTGAAATCACAATTTTATGGTAAAGGAAAATAATCAAATCAAAAACCATTGCAGAACAATGGGAAGCGTGGTTTCTCTATAAACTAGTTTTATATTTATGTAACAGATTCCTAAACACGATTGACAATATCTAACGCCACTGAACTGGATGATTCATAAAAATTTATAAAATGATTTATATTATACTGACTGACGCCTTGTTTTACACCAGTACCAGGAAAGTGTTCAGTGAAGAAGCCTCAGAGAAGCCATTCGTAGGATGATGTGAAAGAATCTTTATTATATCATGGTAAAAAATAAAGTGGAGTAACTTCAGTCCGGTAACACGAACCTGAATTTGATAGTGGTTGTTTAGGGTTTTTTAAATTAAACAAAAACAGCCAGTCAATGACATCCTTAACTAACAGGAAATTGAAGATCATAGTTATGTTTAGCAATCTTACATTAATCGTTATATCAAGACATACAATCTCTGCATTCAGTCACCATCATACAATATAGATTATTCTGGCAGAACTTGGTACATTAGCTGAATTTCTGTTCATGATATCTTACAATGTGTTACAAGTGGCTTTTTAATTAAAAAAAGAAGTATTTATTACGATATGTTTCCCAACGTGTATTTTACTGTTGATAATAAATTTAAACCTCATTTCAGAATATCTATAAGGTTAAAATATTTTTAAGTGTTAAAAACAATATTCAGCAAACCATGTTAAATAATGTACGTTCAAAACATAAATCAAATTAACACTTCGTCTTCTTCCAGAAAACGAAAAATCACTGACATAAATTATAAAACTGGAATATAAATTAAGTTCAATCAAGTGCTAAAATACTGTGGAACTGTTAGTCTAGTTGTGGACTAATGTCAGATTGGAGAATATAAAAATAAAGACTGTAGATAATACATTAATTATTGTAATCATAGACAAATGCTTTATATAGTGATAAGATTCAAGGGAAAGTAAACGTCATAGTTACTGCTGAAATTTCCATCGTAAAATGTAATTTTGTGAACACACAGCTCTTGATCACTCAGTAATCGACTTTCCATATTACTGGAATTAAATCCTATGCTGTGACTCACATCATATTTATATAATAACGACGTTAAGAAGTGGTGTATGACAAGTAAATGTGTGAACCACTTATCACATGCACTATCCAACAGCTTACATGCCTACCAAGGCACAAATAATTTTCCGGATGCACTGGCCACTGTGCTTCCGTAAGCCAATTCCTGCTGTTAGAAAAACATATTTAGCAGTATTGGGGAGATCTAAAGTATTCCTCGAAAAAAGTTTCGAGGGGCCCTAAAAACACTGGAAAACACTTTATCTAATCAGAATTGAATAGAAATTCTTCAGAAATATCTAGAAAGTCAGGAGTCACGTGTCACATTTCTGGTTGAATGGTTCCAGAACCTTCCAGAAGCCCAACATCATCTGGAATACGATAAATACCCTCGATTTTCTGTGCATAAACTAACCTTGGACTTAAGCATTCTTTTCATGCTTCGTGCTTTTACTCTCGTGTGGGATTACCCTAGGGTCATTAGAAGAGCATAGGAAACCGATTCTAGAGTTCAGTTGGAAGACTTATCAAATAGTTAGCCATTTTACCAACCAAAAATCATAAACAAATTTTAGAAAAATATTTAAGTCTTATTAGAATGTGTTATGAATTTATCTTAACACATAAATATGCAGAATATTAAAACTTACAACTTGACTAAAGATTCACTTTGGTTTCCTGAATTCAGTGAGACTCGATGCGAATCCATTGCACTATGAGCTTTCGATTCGCGTGAATCCAAATCATTCATAGTACATGAATTGAATAATCTAACAGCCTTCAAAAGTGTTTCGTTTATGCACACAGCTGTCTCGAGAGCAACTTTCGTATGAATAACAATTAGAATAATTAAAACAAGAAAGATAAAATTCAGCTTATCCAGTGTACATATTTAAAAAAATGATTAGATACACACCTAGCTTTTTATACACGACGACCACAAAATGGAAACCATATAATCTGCAAGATATATTCATGAATTACTTTACTACAATCGAGAACAGTTTGTCACATTAAGAGGATAACTGGCAACTTACAAAACACATGCAGTTGATGAATGACGAGATAGAAAGATCAGTAAAATCATGCGGTAAAATACCTATGATAAGTGGTTTGGAAGAATTGTTGTGATGCTCGACAGTAATGGAAGAATGGTCATTTGAAACCATAACAAATGTACCCGTATTCTACTGTTCACCATGGAAGTGTGTTTATTTTTTTTACTTTATAAGTACCCAACTAACACCTAATTATCCTACAAACAAAAAGTAACTAATTTATAAATATAAAACTTACAAAACTAACTTGTCACCGCTTTGAAAAGACAATACTTTTCTCCAACTAAAACAAAGTTCAGTACACATTTCACTGCTTTATGGACTATGGGGAAAGCAAAACTCAAAGGAATAGAACCACAGCCCATCTGAACAGACATGTACAGCACTCAAAATAAAAGTCGATAATTTCGAAGGATAACGTCAGTTGATAACATTCAAGAAAATTAAAAATGCTAAATTGTGATGTATGAAGACAGTTAATAGACAAGATAAACTGATCATATGACAGATTATGTCGACGAGTTCCAAACGAAAGCATATATTTAAAACACATATTGCGTTAGTCACAAAATTACAGGACCTATGAAAACGCTTCTATCATTGAATCAATAATCATACAACCAACCTACTTCAACCTATTATCTTTAGAAATACTACAGAGTACATCGTTACTAAGTTTGAGTGAGACAAACAATTCCGTACAGCAATACAGGTAGACTACATGATTTTTAATATCCCAAGTATATTCTAAATGATACAAAATTGAATAATTGACGGGCAAAATGTGATATTGAATAAAGCTATATAAAATAAAGTTAAAAACAAACCTTTTCTTTCTTGTAGAGCATCAGACGGTCCACAGAGCATAAAGCAGGGAAGAACAGCACCAATAATTCCTGAAGCATATGGAAGCATATGATGTGGATCTATTTCAACAAATGTTTTTATCCACTTTAGTGCCGCTCGTTGTTTTAATTGTTCTGGTGCGTTACATATATTTCCGCTTTTTAAGGACCACGAATCAGAAGCGTTTTGAGCAGTTTGTGTGAGACTAATACTTTGAGCCGACGTGTCAACAACGATTGATGAATTGAGGAGATTAGAAAACTGAGAGTTACGTGGAGATGATGGCTTCAAAGCGATATCGGCCAAAGCACAAGCTAGTGAAAGTAACACGAAAAAATCCATGGTACTGTATATATAAGAAAAACAATACATAGAATATGAGGAGTACAGAAATACAATCATCAGTATAGACATAAATATACCGCAATGTTTCGTACTTAATGACAACTAAAAAATCTATGTCATGACCAACATCGTACTCCGGTTTATTTATTTATTGCAACATATAAACATAGGTTCAATGGGGCGTTAAAAGATATATGCGCCACACAATAACAACAAGGTTGTGAAGAGATAGAGAAAGGAAGGTATGATGAAGAAAACAAAGAAAAATAGAAATTAGTGTATGAGAGTGAAGTAGTAATAATGGAACAGGCAGTTCAGTTAACAAAAGTACAACCAGAAAGAATTCTTTTAGTTAAAGAAATTACTTTCACTTATATGAAGAATGCAAAAGAAAGTTACAGAAGGATCATCATTGGCTTCTATTCTGAGCCATGTCTCAAGCCACTGTAGTGAAAGACCAACAGAACCCAGTCCTGTACAGCTTTCTTCCACGCTACGACACCATGTCATACACTGACTATTTCTCCGTTTTTTCCAACTAGTCCGTGTCAGAAAATGATGCATGACGTGGAATTCGCTGGGATAACATCTGTCGAACACATCCAAGCCACCGAAGTCGATATTTCAAGATATTTATACCGATTAGATTATCATCGCTGCGCCCGAATACACGATGCCAAACTTCTGCATTACTGAAATAGTGTTGCCACTGGAAGTCAGCAATCTGTCGGAGGCAACGGTGATTAAACAGAGTCGCCTGACATCATAAACTCGGAGAGGCCGAGTTTCATAAACATGGAACGAATCTGGGCCCACGGACGCAATGTAGATCCAACATTTTACGACCAAACTAACATCAAGAAGGCGCCAAAGATGGACCAGATTAACATAAGCCACTCTGCCTTTCGCTACACGTGAATTGATCTCATCATTCATGATACCACCAGCACTTACACAGCTACCCAGATGCACGATGTCCCCAACTACTAACTGTTCGCTACCTATGTGGTGTATTTCATGTAAACCCTAATTAATGCAATCTTTTATTATTGCCTGTAATACTGATGATGGATGATTATTGATGTTTGAAAGTTATTCACACTGTTGTAGTATATGCTACTTATATCGATATAAGTAGTATGTAACTCAAACAGAAGTAGAATGCCTGGCAGCAGAAGGTTGATAAGATCGGATCGAAGAGAACAGGAACAGGGAATAATTTTAATGGCAGTGAGGGAACGGAGAAAATTGAGACAATTGATAGAGGATTTGCAAATTAAGTATTGAACGTATGATTTTCACATTTTATCCAAGAACTCTGTAATTATGTATAGATACAATGGTTATCCCCAGCTGTGTTCTCTGTCACTACACCCAGAGTGAGTGCAGGTTCAGGGTCCTCCCAGTCTTGTTAAAGTACTTTGCACTTAGGAGGTGCAAACCATATGCCATACCTACAGACACTAATTGCTAACTGACTAAGGGCGGATTGGACGAGTCGGGTATAATCGCACAGTAGGGCAATATCATCCACACATTCAAAGTCGAACAGCCTTTCCCCAGGCAACAGATCCACACCATTATTACCTACATTCATCAAACCTGTTTTCAGAACGCCATCGATGGCAAATTGGAAGAAGAGTGGTGAGACTATGAGACCATGCCTAACCCCATTGCTTGAATGAAACAATGGAGAGAGGTGGTTGTATGCCCTCACTGTATCTGAAGTTTGTATATAGAACTTTCAATATATTAATAAACTTCTCAAACACACCCTTCTTCAATAGACAATCCCAACATAGACGAGCTGCTGTAGAAGTTGATGAATAAAGGAATATACAAAATAAGGATAAATGAATAGGCAAGTGACGCAATGTATGATACAAACAAACATTAACAAATAGTTTTAAGTATGATTTGCGAAAATAGGAATTGAGGAGCGATTGATTTTTCTAGTTGCAGTCATCATTTAGTTCTTATGCGCTGGGATGAACCTCGGGTATTCAAACCGAAGAAGGTGGTTTTCTCAGGTGACCACTTCCCGGACCTTCGATCTAAAAGTCTAGTCCACAGGGTAGTGAAGCAACGTTAGTAGATGCAATCCCATGGTAGACGGCGACCAACAACAGGTTCATACGCCATTTGCTCCCCAAGGATCCTGGAGTTCATGTTCACCATTGGTTTGAAATCAGGGTTTTCTTGTTCTCCTAAGTGCAACATCCGCGTACCCATCAACCCGGTTAGGGAAGGACATTCGCTTTCCGTCGTCTCAATTTCGTAAACAACACACCCGCCGCGAGAAGGTAGTGATTAGGACTTCTTTGGCAATCGCCCACCGTAGCTGCTATCTTGACGTAATGACCGGGTTGGCCTATTGTGATGAATCAACTGAGCTATATTGGCTAGGACACGTTCTTTTAGGTTCTACCACGTCAGGCGGGTCGGTCGAAGAATGGTAAGACTAAAAGCAGTAACTTGAGGCTCGAGGGCGACGAGTGTGACAGCAGTAAGGCGTTTCCATTGAGCAACCAACACCTGCAACGATGCTGTCTTCTCACAACGGAAGGTGTTAGGAATAGTCTATCCTGAAAATGTCACATCTCACCTTACCACACGGATTTCCGTTTCTGGCTTCTTTAGCTAGGACTCTAGAATCTCGCGCCGTCGATGTATGCTGCGTCTCCGAAACGTGACTACAGGATCTAATTACAGTCTTTCAATTGACCTCATATTGTCAAGATAAAGAACCCGCACGATTTACTCTTTGAGTATCTGAAGATCTCAGTGCTAATTGCTGTGACCTCATTGATGTAGGTACAGCATTAAGTTCAAAAGCAGAACAGGCTTTCAGACTGCATTTCAATCGACAGTCGCCTATTCAACTAAACAGGTTGGTAAGAACTCGAAAAGATAAGGACACAATCCATCGCCTATTCGTTGTCTCTACTTACGTTTCCACTGATTGTAGCTCGGACAAAGTTAAAGATGAATTTTATACGAAGCTATCCAAACTTCCTCGAAAGGTTAAATGCTATGATTTAGTAAGTGACAGACGATTTTGATACTTAAGTAGACTAAACGAAACTGAAGGGTACTTAGGTAGATATTACACTGTTGAGGCTCAGCGAACAGACAATGGCGATCGTCTGTTGCAACTATGCTCAGATAATCGTCTATTTCTGGTAAACACCAACTTTAAGCACAAAAATAAACATTGTATGATGTAGCGACCTCCACAATCGATTCATCGATGGACTAAAATGGATCATATTGACATTAGCCATAGTTCAAGGGGCTCGATTAAAGACTGTCTCTCATTCTGGAGCACATGTTTAGACTTAGATCATCCTCTAGTTCGAGCATGCACTTGTCTGTGTCTCACTGAACGTAGAAAAGTTACAGCAAGAAAAACCCTTAAAGTAACTTAGTGAAAAAGTTAAGAGTGTATTTCAGGAACAGCTGAAGGAGTTCGTCAACCGTGAAGTGATATTCACTCCAAAGTAGCACGGCATGATATCCAAAAAGCTATGAAAACAGCTGTGATATATACTAGTAACTTGAAGCAAAAAGTTAGGAAAAATCAGTGGATTTCAGCTGCGTATACAGAACTGGTAGATGTTCGGACATTCATCACATCTGACTCCGAGAACGATAAGGAGCGGAGGCAGCTTAAACGTAGGCTGATAAAAGGTCTACATAATGATCGTGAGCAGCGGTGAGTAGAGAAAGCAGAAGAGATGGAAAAGGAAGCGGCAATAGGTAACAGTAGATAACTGTTCAGACTTATCGAGGAAACGGGTAATAAACTGTTTCAGTAAAAGATGGGACTACTGTTCACTTTTAATCCAGGAGATTGGATAAACGGGCAGAACACTTTAAGAGACAGTTCAACTAACCTTCAGCCACACTTCAGTCACCCATTATCTACAAAAAACCTGAACGGTAAACTGATGTAAGTCCTCCGAATCTTAGTGAGGTTGAAAAGGCTATAAGTAATCTAAAGCGAGGGAGAACAGCAGGGCCTGATGGATTAATCCCTGAGATTTTTGAGGATGGTTCTCCAGTTTTAGCAGTGAAATTAACTGAAATCTTAGCTAAATTCTGAAAAATGGACGTAGTCTCATCTGAAATGTTTTGATCGCTGGTCGTCTCAGTCTATAAGAAAGGACAAAAATCCTCTTGTGATAATCACAGAGGAATCAATTTAACTAATATCATGTCTAAAATATTAGCCTCAATAATACTTCAATGTCTAATTATAGCTCTTGAAGAGCGAATCTGAGAAAACCAGACTGGTTCACATCTGTACATGAATGTATAGACCAAATATTTACCCTTCAGTAGATTGTAGAACATAAACATACCTTTCGACGTCGTACTACAGTTGTATTCCTTGACATTAAGGCAGAGTTCGACTCTGTTGATTATGAGGTTCTGAACCAGTGTCTGTCATTGAAAGGCGTATCGAAGAAGTATATTAACCTTGTACAGGCTCTTTACTCGAATACTTCTGGTCGAGTCAGAGCTTATAGCTAATTTTCATCGGGATTCGTTCATCAGGGTTGCCCGCTTTCTTCCTTAACTTTGCCATAGACATGTTTTAAAGATAACATATTCATTGTCTGACTTTTCAGCGATTGATCTACCAGAAGATTAACTTGTTGACTTAAAATACACAGATGATATAGCTGTGTTTTGTGAAGACGCTGACAAAACGCATTTTTCTGACCACTTTAAGCAATAATGCAAGCATGTTTGGGATGCGGTTTCCTGCCTCCAAATATAAAATGTTACTTCAGGATTGGCTTACGTCAGTGCCTAAATTAGTGATAGGGAGTGAAATAGTTGAACGCAACGACCGCTTCACTTATCTTAGGAGTTTCATCAGTACTGATGGTCTTGTGTCTGAGGAAATCTTGGTACGGATCCAAAAGACCCGATTGACATTGGCCAATTTGCGTCATTTATGAAGTAGGCGAGATACCTGTCTTTTAACCGAAAGGCGGGTTTACTGGGCTCGCTCGATTCTACTTTATGGATGTAAAACTTGGTCATTAAGTGTAGAAGATATTCTTAGGTTACTGGTATTCTATCACAGATGTTTTCAAAGCATCGGTCGGGTATTTGGGACAACGGAGTAGGCAATGCCTGGGTTATAAATCGATTACTAGGCAAAGATGGTAAGTCGGTTGATGAGGTAGTGAATCCTTATCAGCTGAGGGGGTTGGCACATGTGTTACGTATGCCTAACAAGCGCCTACCTCAATAGGTGATGTTTTCTGGTGAAGGAGCAGGCTGAAAAAAAATAGTAGCGGCCAAATTAAAACATAGCATCAGTCCGTGAAGTCACTGACAATTGGACTTAGCCATGTTTATAGGTGTAAACTACCTGGTTGGGGTCCGTGTGGTTATCATAATCAATCTTTAGAGACTTTGAATAACATTACTCAAAATCGTATACAATAGTGAAGATGCATTAATTTTCTGTCGTTCCCCAGATCCTGAGATTTTAAATTCCTCGCAAATGTCCTTTGTTTTTATTTCACTGATTTATGTTTTCTTTTCGAGTCATATCTCTGATCTTTTCTATTACCACTGCTACTGTTACTACCTCTAATATTCTGGAATTCGACCTCATATCTTTTTCCTGATGGAGTATTGCAACTTGAACCGATGTATATATGTACAAGCCCTACGTTGGGACTGACTGACTGACCCTACCAGTGGCTGTATACACGCGGCCATATGAGAGCATTTCGAAAGGGAGAGAGGACTGTCCCCACTCTCGACCGTACCAGTGCATTTTGGGGGCCAGTAGACGGAAAAATAAAAGATTTCTTGATGATGAATACAAACAAGCCAGGAAGTATTTCATTTAGTTACAGTTATGTAATTAAAAAGGTACAAGTATAACAAAACAAGGATATACGATCGAAATAGGATCAAGATGATTACCTAGTTCTCAAAATCAATCGAATTTTATTGATCATTATAACTTATTTAAATGACAAGACACACTTTGTTGACTGTTAACAACAAATGATTCTACAAGTACTGAAAATTACATCTGCACATCTGATAGCGAATCTAACACAGTTTACTCTCGTACCACTTGTTTCAGTAGTCACTCTTTCAAAGATAGAATCTAATTACTAGCGATAAGTATAATATCAATATCAATTACTATCCGGTAACCAGAATGATGCAGATAAACGGGTTCAATAGCAATAAGAACCCAAATATTTTAACAATAGTATGTTTAAATGCAATACTGGATTGGGGTTGAATCGAATGTTATGATAAGCACGATTTTCATCAGAATAATAAAAGCTAAGTCCTGACAGTGAGTGATAACAAGCATGGATATCTCAGTCCATAACGCTCTGGTAAACTTTAATGGTTTAGATTAACAATTTAAAAAAATATTAAAGAAAGGTAGAATGTCCAATCCCGTATCAAGCTAGATGACAACATTACTATCATAGGTTTTTTGATATAATCCGCTTCCTTGCACTTCGTTAAAAATAAACTTAGAATACAGACTCTCAGTGAAACCGTATATATAAATACTAGGTTCATATAGCCCAAACAACTGATGAAGAGTAACTTGAGTAAATCAGCCAAAGTATATGTTTGAGTTGAATATGGATTTTTATAGAACAAACTTTGAAGAGTATCTATAAAAAAGCTTTACTGAACTGTTATTTATTCATTACAGTTTGGCCTATTTTTGTGACCATGACTTCAAACTGTAAAACTGAGATGGTCAGGTTTATCTGATATAGTTATTATTGAGTCAAATAAGGAGCAACAAACCTATTTCACTTTGCATGAAACGAATGAATTAATCCGATAAGTGTGTGTTCCACTACTATATGAGAACCACGTGCAAACTAACAGGATGAAACTGGTTAGTACAATTTCTTAAAGTACTATATAGATGATGAAAACTGACAATTCTATTCAACCAGTAGTGTTCAAAAATGGTAATACGTGATAAAAAAACCAGTATCTATTAATATAAGAAACTGCCTTGAGTTACACATTCAAACACTAAACAAACAGCTAACCTGTTGCTGAAAGTCGACAGTGCACAATTAAACTGTTGATCATTGTATCCAATGCAATTTCATTTGGATTAGCTTCAATCTCTTTGAGTAAATCCGTTAAAAGCATTTCACATCTAAAGCAAAACAAAATCAGAAGTAAAAGTGAGGAAGTTAAACATAGTAGCAGATAAAATTATCATTAAAACCCATCAAGCCACATAAAATCCATCGAATATTTTAAAGTATGTAGTGAGGAATTAAGAGTTACTAAATGCCTAGTTTTAGTAAACTTCAAAGTTTAATCAGTGTGTGAGAGCACATAAACCCTTCAGTGATACTGAACGACACATATAATAATGGTATGATCCACCTAAATCCTCGAAATATCAACCGAAGGATTCCAGAAAAATAGTTAAAGTATAGTGGGACATCAGGAAACTTTAGTTTCTTAAGTACCGTTATGTTATTTGGTTAGAGGCAGTCGGCAGAAACTACTGGACCTGGGTTTTGCACTACTTGGGACTCTTTAGCAAGGGATATCTGGAATTATGTTGTGATCACTGACGAATATCATGTGCCAAGTCACAAACCAGAATAACGATCCTAATTTAGTCTATTATTTACTCGATAGCTTAGTCTCTGACTTGCTCAATTACACATTCAACCAGCACTACTGACCTTAAGCTAAGTCCCCATTGATCTACTATTCGTAAACTTCTCATCATAACCCACCTTTGAGTTCAAACGTCAGCACCTAACCTCTACGATATTTATATTTTAAACAGATGCGCTTTATATACAGACATACCACACAGAATCATACTATAAAGTGAAAAATAAAAACTATACATGAACAAGCCAAAAGTGACTGTGAGTAATAGACTAGAAAAAATTTTTGAAAAAAGTAGACTGTACAACAGTAGTTAATGTATCAACCGAAAGCTTATGATAAGTGGAATATGTATACGTAGTAATTTAATTAATCAGTAATTATACCACAAAATTATAATTAATAATAGTTTGAAAAACTAGTTCCAACGTCTGTAATATTTGTGCCATTATAACATGTAGAATCTGGACCATGTGTCACAGTTACAAAAGTTACCACTAGGTTATTCGGACCAGGATAAACCTCTTGCACGACTAAAAAGTTTACACTAACCAATTTCATCTAATATTAACCAATATTTACCTCAATTTCGAGTCAATCAGATTAGTGACCAGACTGTAAACCAGCAGCTAGAATTTTCTATTCCCTAAAAACTAGACAACATGAAGTTGGCTACTATTTACTAATCAATTGGTGCAAATAATATCGACTAGTAGTGAAAACAACTTAGGAATTATTCAAGTACTAAAACCCAGCTTAAATGTAGATAAATTGGTACAAAAGACAAAAATACTGAAAAAAAACTATCAAAATACATCTTAAGATGAAACACTATACGAGCATAGTTGAAGTTAAATAGAAACAAAAAAGTACAGAATACTACAAGTTACTACATGAAATAATTTTGCCAACAGAATATCTACAGCTTCGTCGAACTATGTAGTTAGATAGACATTATGCTCTATAACTTGGAAGGATTATTTAGCATTATATTACATAGCATATGCATTATTTTGTTCACATTTTTCCAGTTAGGTTCTACGCTTAAATATGCAATGGTGATTCAACGGAAGAAATCCACAATCTATCAATCGAAAATAAATAAACTAAACACACTTTAATAACGTATTTGTAAATACACTTTAAAAAACACTGTGTTGGTAACAGCGATAACCAGTCTGATGATTGTGAATAAGAAAAAGCAGTTTTGTATTTAACAGTAATAGGACATTTTGGTGATTAATACAAACACAAATCATGCTTAAAGTACATTTGCCCCCAAATGCCTTGGTACGGCCAACAGTGGGGAGAGTCCGCTCTCCTCGAAATGCTCTCACATGGCTACGTGTATACAGCCTCTGACAAGGAAGTCCTACTACCTTCTCGTGGCGGGTGTTGTTTACGGAATCGAGAGGACGAAAAGCGGAACTCCGGCGCTTTAAACGGATTGGTGAACATGGAGAGTCCATCTAAGGGAGTTGGAAAACTCTGATTCAAATCCAATGATGCACATGGGCTCCAGGATCCTAAAGGAACAAATGGCGTATGAACCAATCGTTGGTCACCGGCTACCATGGGACTGCATCTCCTCACGATGCTCCACTGCCTTGTGGGTCAGACATTCAGGTCGAAGGTTCGGGGTGTGGTCCCCTGAGAAAACCACCTGCTTCGGTCTGGGCAGCCGGACAGTATCATAGACCTCACACAATTTAAATGAAATGACAATCAGTATTTGATATACTGTTCTCACTCCTATTACTGTTTAAAAAACCCATACCCATTTGATATCATTCACTTTTAAGTTTTTTTGTACTACGTCATTTGTCTAACCTCTTCCATTCTCACTATGCGTATTCTTACTTTTCCACTTATACAGCAGAACGCCAATGGTGGAAATTCGGCTCTATCTAAACGCTCTCGGGTCAGTGATTGCTCGAAAATCGAATGCTACCACCAAATACGAATACTGAAGCAGTCTTTCTGAAACCGCGTACACCCTTCAAACTGGCTTCCATCAACGTTCGCACACTTATGCAGGTCGGACAACAGATAGGGCTGGCTATGTCTTTGGAAAGCCTTAATATCAACGTCTGTTGTCTATCCGAGACCCGTATTCAAGACTCCGGTGAAGTACTACAAATTCGCTCTCCATCTGTCGCTTCAAAAAGCTTGTTTTATGTGCGTTTATCCGAGGACCCTGTGGCATCTTCGCCTGATCTTGCTGGCGTTGATATCACACTAAGCGCTAGAGCTGAGGCAGCACTAATCGAATGGATCCCCATTGACAGTCGGTTCCATCAAAGTGAGAAGAGATCGGCGTGAGAAACGGTGTCTTTTCGTCATCTCCGCCTATGCCCCGACAGATTGCAGCCCGGATGCAATCAAGGATGAGTTCTACCACCAGTTATCTGTTCTTCTCCAGAAAGTGCGTTCGACAGATATTGTAGTACTAGCTGGAGACTTGAATGCTCAGGTCGGGCGTCTAGGCACAGAAGAGTCGTTTAGGTGGCCGATGGGGACCTGATGGTCGCAGAACAGATAACGGGGAACGTCTACTGCAACTATGCACAGACCACAACCTGTTTCTGGCTAGCACTAACTTTCGGCACAGTCATCGCCGATGTGACACCTGGCATCCTCCTTCTGCATCTCAAGCCTGGGCTCTGATTGATCATATCGCGATCAGCTACCGCTGGTGTGGTTGTGTACAACACTGCCACTCCTTTTGGAGTACCTATCTGGAATCTGATCATGCCCTGGTCTGTGCCAATCTTACCTTACTTTTCAGTGGACAACGAAGTGACCGCCACCAAAGGATTGATGTTAGCAAGTTGGCTGCAACTTCTGTTGCAAGTAACTACCGAACCGAGCTAGCTTCTAGGCTAGCTACCATTCCACCGAAAAGTATAGATGAGCATTGGTTGCAATTGCATGACGCCATGAAAATGGCGGGTACAGTCTGTTGTGGGTTCGCGAAACGTCCCGCTTACAAGCACTGGGTTTCTTCTGGTTCCTTACAACTGATTGAAGCCCGTCGGTCTACTCCGGGTGACCATGAGTTTGACCACAAACGAAGGATGTTACGTAATGAAATCGGGCAAAGCTTGCGTAAGGACCGAGAAGCCTGCTGGTCGGAGCGTGCCAGTGAGTTGGAAGCAGCAGCTGCATCTGGTAATTACCGGAAGCTCTTCCAACTCATCCGAGCCACTGGCAGCAAGAAGTCTGGTGTGAGCGAAACAATCTGCGAAGATGACGGAACGCCAATCACTAACATCCATCGACGTCTTGGACGATGGGCAGAATTCTTTGAAGGGCAGTTCAACTGGCCTGCTGCTCCGGCAACATCGGTCAGACTGTCCTGCTCTCCATGGCCGGTGACGACTGATCCACCAAATGAGGCGGAAGTCCGCAAGGAACTCCAACTCTTGAAGCGTTACAAATCACCGGGTTAGACGACTTACCTCCGGCTCTTTCTAAAGATGGTGGTGACTTTCTGACTAAGTAACTGATTGTGTTGTTTACGAAAGTCTGGGAACTGGAGAGCGTACCAACGTCATGGAGTGAGCCGGTAGTTGTCCCTATCTTTAGAAAGGGTTCATTTATTTATTTATTTATTTGAACACATAAATATTGGTACAGTGGGGCACCAAATATATATGCGCCACACAAAACAGAGATAATTAGAAGAGAAGGAGAAAAGAGAAGAAAAAAAAAAGTAATGAACGTGGGGAATTATAAAAAAAAAAGAAGAGAGAGAGAGAGAACAATGGTGGGGGAAACGGAAAGGTACAATCAGAATAGATCTTTCAGTTAAGGAAGAATACGACCACCTTTTTATGAAGAAAGTAAAAGAAGGTTACAGCAGGATCGCCACTGGCTTCTATTCTGAGCCATATCTGATAACGTCTCTAGCCACTGCGTTACACCATCTCTCGGACCCCAACCAGGGAGTCGTGAAGGACCAACATAAGCTAGCCCTTTGCAGCTTTCTTTCATACCACGACACCATGTCATATACTGACCACCTCTCTGCTTTTTCCAACCAGTCCCAGAGTCGGCAAATAATGCACGACGAGGAATTCTCTGGGACGACATTCGTAGAACATGTCCAAGCCACCGAAGTCGGTGTTTCAAGATGGTGACACCAATTTCATTATCGTCTCTGTGACCGAACACTCGATGCCGAACCTCTGCATTACTGACATGGTGTTGCCACTGGATGCCAGCAATCCTTCGGAGACAACGATGATCGAACACAGAGAGTCGTCTAACATCCTCAACTCGGAGAGGCCAGGTTTCACAAGCATAGAGCAAAACTGCTCTCACCGTCGCGTTGTAGATCCGACCTTTTACAGCCAGACTAACATCACGAAGGCGCCAAAGATGGCCCAGATTGGCATAAACCGCTCTGGCTTTCACTATACGTGCATTGATCTCATCACTCACGCCACCACCAGCACTTATGCAGCTACCCAGATACACGAACTTCTCGACCACTTCTATCTGCTCACCATCCAGAGTGAGTACAGGATTAGAATCCTGCCAGTCTTGTAGAAGTACTTTGCACTTCGAAGGTGCAAAGCACATACCATACCTACGGACACTGATTGCCAACTGATTAAGTGCGGATTGCATGGTTTGGGCATTATCGCACAGTAAGACTATCATCCGCATACTCAATTTCGAGAGGTCTTTCTCCAGGCAACAGATCCACACCACCATTACTTACATCCATCAGAGCTGTTTCCAGAATGTCATCGATGGCAAAGTTGAAGAGGAATGGTGAGATTGGGCAACCCTGACTAACCCCACTGCTTGAATGGAACAATGGAGAAAGGTGGTTGTATGCCCTCACTCTACCTGAGGTGTTTGTATATAAGGCTTTTAGGATGTTAATAAACTTCTCAGGCACACCCCTCTTCAATAGACAATCCCAGAGAACAGTTCTGTCCAACGAATCGAAAGCAGCCTTGATATCAAGAAACACTACGATTGTTGGCCTTTGATAAGTATGGCGGTGTTCTAACACTTGGCGGAGGGTGAAGATATGATCAATACATCCTCGACCAGAACGAAACCCAGCCTGCTCCTCGCGAGTCAATCCTTCTCGGGTTCTGAACAACCTACGAAGTATGACGGAAGCCAATAGCTTGGACGCAATCGGAAGTAGACTTATCCCCCGATAGTTGTTACAGGAACAACGTGAACCCTTTTTAAAGATAGGGACAACTATCGACTCATTCCATGACGTTGGTACACTCTCTAGTTCCCAGATCTTTGTAAACAACGTCGTCAGTCCTTTAGTCAGAAAGTCACCACCATCTTTAAAAAGAGCCGGGGGTAAGTCGTCTGGGCCTGGTGATTTGTAACGTTTCAAGAGTTGGAGTTCCTTGCGGACTTCCGCCTCATTTGGTGGATCAGTCGTCACCGGCCATGGAGAGCAGGACAGTCTGACCGATGTTGCCGGAGCAGCAGGCCAGTTGAACTGCCCTTCAAAGAATTCTGCCCATCGTCCAAGACGTCGATGGATGTTAGTGATTGGCGTTCCGTCATCCTCGCAGATTGTTTCGCTCACACCAGACTTCTTGCTGCCGGTGGCTCGGATGAGTTGGAAGAGCTTCCGGTAATTACCAGATGCAGCTGCTGCTTCCAACTCACTGGCACGCTCCGACCAGCAGGCTTCTCGGTCCTTACGCAAGCTTTGCCCAATTTCAGTACGTAACAACCTTCGTCTGTGGTCAAACTCACGGTCACCCGGAGTAGACCGACGGGCTTCAATCAGTTGTAAGGAACCAGAAGAAACCCAGTGCTTGTAAGCAGGACGTTTCGCAATCCCACAGCTGACTTGACCCGCCATTTTCATGGCGTCATGCAATTGCAACCAATGCTCATTTATACTTTTCGGTGGAATAGTGGCTAGCCTAGAAGCTAGTTCGGCTCGGTACTTACTAGCAACAGAAGTTGCAGCCAGCTTGCTAACATCAATCCTGTGGTGGCGGTCACTTCGTTGCCCACTGAAAAGTAAGGTAAGATTGGCACAGACCAGGGCATGATCAGATTCCAGATAGGTACTCCAAAAGGAGTGGCAGTGTTGTACACAACCACACCAGCGGTAGCTGATCGCGATATGATCAATCAGAGCCCAGGCTTGAGATGCAGAAGGAGGATGCCAGGTGTCACATCGGCGATGACTGTGCCGAAAGTTAGTGCTAGCCAGAAACAGGTTGTGGTCTGTGCATAGTTGCAGTAGACGTTCCCCGTTATCTGTTCTGCGACCATCAGGTCCCCATCGGCCACCTAAACGACTCTTCTGTGCCTAGACGCCCGACCTGAGCATTCAAGTCTCCAGCTAGTACTACAATATCTGTCGAACGCACTTTCTGGAGAAGAACAGATAACTGGTGGTAGAACTCATCCTTGATTGCATCCGGGCTGCAATCTGTCGGGGCATAGGCGGAGATGACGAAAAGACATCGTTTCTCACGCCGATTTCTTCTCACTCTGATGGTACTTTCTAATCTAACAGCACATAACCGACTGTTAATGGGGATCCAGTCGACTAGTGCTGCCTCAGCTCTTGCGCTTAGTGCGACATTTAACGCCAGCAAGACCAGACGAAGATGCCACAGGGTCCTCGGATAAACGCACGTAAAACAAGCTTTTTGAAGCGACAGATGGAGAGCGAATTTGTAGTACTTCACCAGAGTCTTGAATACGGGTCTCGGATAGAAAACAGACGTTGATATTAAGGCTTTCCAAAGACATAGCCAGCCCTATCTGTTGTCCGACCTGCATAAGTGTGCGAACGTTAAAGGTAGCCAGTTTGAAGGGTGTACGCGGTTTCAGAGAGACTGCTTCAGTACTCTTATTCGATGGTAACATACAATTTTCAAACCAGGCAGTGACTCGAGAACGTTTAGATAAAGCTGAATTTTTACCATAGGCGAGCTGCTGTCTGAGTCGAAACGGATACAAAAAGTAGAAATAGGAGATAGTGAGTAAATGACGTAGTAAATAATAATAATAATAATAATAATAATAATAATAATAATAATAATAACAATAATAATAATAATAATAATAATAATAATAGTATCAGTCATTTCAATGTTAGTCAGAGAAGAACGAATATTTTCCGTAAGCGAATATTTCATCATGTTTTGGTGTGTGGGCTGAGATACTGCCCGGGTGCCCAAACCGAAGCAGGTGGTTTTCTTAGGGGGCCACACCCCGAGCCTTTGACTTAAAGGTCTAGTCCACAAGGCAGTGGAGCATCGTGAGGAGATGCAGTCCCATGGAAGCCGGTGACCAAAAGTTGGTTCATACGCCATTTGTTCCTTCAGGATACTGGAGCCCATGTGCACCATAGAATTGGGATCCGGTTATAGCGCCGGACGTTCGCTTTTCGTCCTCTCATTTTCGTAAACAACACCCCCGCCACGAGAAGGCAGTGAGTAGGACTTCCCTGGCAGAGGCTGTATACGCGTGGCCGTGTGAGAGTATTACGAGAGGGAGGGCGAACCCTCCCCGCTCTCGGCCATACCAGGGCATTTGGGGGCTCACGTCGTTCCTGTAACAACTATCGGTGATAAGTCTACTTCCGATTGCGTCCAAGCTGTTGGCTTCCGTTATACTTCGTAGGTTGTTCAAAACCCGAGAAAGATTGACTCGCGAGGAGCAGGCTGGGTTTCGTTCCGGTCGAGGATGTATTGATCATATCTTCACCCTCCGCTAAATGTCAGAACACCGTCATACTTATCAAAGGCCAACAATCGTAGTGTTTCTTGACATCAGGGCTGCCTTCGATTCGTTGGACAGAACTGTTCTCTGGGATTGTCTATTAAAGAAGGGTGTGCCTGAGAAGTTTATTAACATCCTGAAAGCATTATACACAAACACCTCAGGCAGAGTGAGGGCATACAACCACCTTTCTCCATTGTTCCATTCAAGCAGTGGGGTTAGTCAGGGTTGCCCAATCTCACCATTCCTCTTCAACTTTGCCATCGATGACATTCTGGAAACAGCTCTGATGGATGTAAGTAATGGTGGTGTGGATCTGTTGCCTGGAGAAAGACCTCTCGAAATTGAGTATGCGGATGATAGTCTTACTGTGCGATAATGCCCAAACCATGCAATCCACACATAATCAGTTGGCAATCAGTGTCCGTAGGTGTGGTATGTGCTTTGCACCTTCGTGATGTCAGTCTGGCTCTTAAAGGTCGGATCTACAACGCGTCAGTGAGAGCAGTTCTGCTCTATGCTTGTGAAACCTGGCCTCTCCGAGTTCAGGATGTTAGACGACTACTCTTTGTGTTAGGTCATCGTTGGCTGACATTTAATGGCGACACCATGTTAGAAATACAGAGGTTCGATATCGTGTGTTCGGGCACAGAGACAACAATCCAATCGGTGTCACCATCTTGAAACATCGACTTCGGTGGCTTGGACATGTTCTACGAATGTCGTCCCAGAGAATTCGACGTCGTGCACTATTTGCCGACTCTGGGACTGGTTGGAAAAAGCAGAGAGGTGGTCAGTATATGACATGGTGTCGTGGTATGAAAGAAAGTTGCAAAGGGATGGCTTCTGTTGGTCCTTCACGACTCCCTGGCTGGGGTCCGAGGGACGGTGCAACACAGTGGCTAAAGATGTTATCAGATATAGCTCAGAATAGAAGCCAATGGCGAAAATTTTCTCACATCCATGTCCAAACTATATCTTTATAGTCGGCACAGACAAGGTTGAGATCTATGTCTAGAGTTATACATCCTGTTATTGATCATCTAACATTGAATACACACAAAGCTCTAATCTTTTGGATTGGCAGTTACATTGCAAACTCGGCCAGCACTGAAGATCTGATAGTATTTGTAACTCATTGGAATCACATTTGCTTAGAATATCTTTTTTTAAGTACAGTTCAAATTAATAATTTTCGAAATTCCACTTTAAAACAGGTAAAAATAAAAACGGTCGTTTAAAACACAAAACAACAATCATTCTTACTGCCTTCGTAAATCCGGATTCGGATCGCCAAGTATACGGAAAAGCCCATCCAATAATTGCGGCAAGTAAACAGAAATTTTTAGTCCAGGTATAGCATATAAGGTAGTGATCTGATTAATAGAAGGGTTATCAATATATCACGTTAATATTACTGTTTTTTCAGTTTTAATAAACCAGTCTCTTAACACCTAACATGTATTAAAGTATAAAAATAGAAATTATTCACTCGATCATGCACTGGCTTTTGCTTGACATAAAACTTTACTAACGAAAACGTAAACCTGTATTTTAACCCACAGTATCACGAGTATTAAGGGTTTAAACTGGTTAACAAGGTGAAATATGTGTAGAATTTAAAAAGACTAGATTCGTAAAATTAGCTAGCAGGTTCAAGATGCTAATGGATTCAACACACTTAAAGTAAATACAACTGTTATCATAACCCATATGAAATAATAACTAAGCAATAATATGCTGAGAAATGATTTGTACTACACTATCACGTTATAAAACTGAAGTGAAAATTTTCCGAAACATCTCTACAATGAGCAGAAATTCATTCTATCTAGTAATGATGACAAACTAATTTATAGATAAAGTGAAGAGACAGTCATAATTTAGTAAGAATCAAGAGGCGTTCACATGTCATCAATACCTCAGTGGGAAAGAATATCGCAGTTTGATAATCTTCCAAAGATGTTTGCTACTTCAAATAAACAAAGGATAACTAGGATTCTATATGTCGCTTTTCAGCAATCGGACACGAAATAATGTCGGCAAAGTTATTATTCGTGAGCAAAAGAGGTTGACAGTCCTTGTTCACTCTTCAAACAACTGTTATTACAAAAATAAATGATCCACTGATCAGTTTGAAATGTTTTGGTGATTTACAGAGACATTAGATTTTACTTTTCTCAATTTCTCCTATATCTAGTCTGCAATTATTTAGCTTTTTGCTATCACTACACTTAAAAAATCAAAAGAATCTGATGAAATTTTGGAAATTAGGACTGAAGCATCCAAAAACGACGATGTTGTATGTGTTAACTTATATTATGTGCTAAATGACTACCAATGCTTAAACGTGAAAATGTATCAAAACGATCAGTTTCTTAAATTATACAAAAGTTATCAAACTACACGTCTAACATCTTTTTCGACCAGCTGAAGATCTGTCAATGGATGTGCTATAAATACAATATTGGATAATGGCCCAATTTATAATAACGGAAACTTGCATGGAAGTATTACTAAAGTTCATTACCCTTAAGTGATAGTTTAGTATAGCTTCGAAAGGGCTAAAAGTTTATTCGTAACTCCAGTTCGAATTTTGCTTTTAAATACTATGCTTAAGTAAGGGAATGAAAAATTCGTAAATAGGAATGGACTACTTATGTGAGCTAAAATATGAGTACGTTCGGAGACACCGTGCTATCAGTACTGTCCACGAGTACAGCTCATGAAGTTATTGGAACTAAAAAACATAGAATTAGTGAACATAATAAGTTAAGTTAGCGTCTTGGAACACGGGCGATATAATACACATCAAGCTATCGGTGTGAATTCCTTCACTCCTTGAATTAAGTTCTAAGAATATTTTTTTAATTCCACTCCTATACCTGTTTTTTCTCCTGGTATCACATCTGCTGAATGACATGACACTTTATAGGGATGTAAGATTTTGTTATATTTCATATTGTTCTTATATCACTGTAATCTGATGGGTAATAAGTCAACTACAAGAACAACCGTGATAAACCCAACAAGCTGATGGCTTAAGAACTGTCCATACCTAGTGAAATCAGTGAGTAATGAAGAAAACTGCTTTTGAAGATAACCAATACACCAAATGACTTACCCAAGAAACAATAAACTGACGAGTATACGGATTGTTCGTGTAAATACGTTCTTTCAGTAATAAGACAATATCTGTTAAGTCACAAACTTCAGTCTCCATGATAATTTCCTTTAAAAGTCTATCACATTGTAAAGCTGACGGACGAACAGAGGAGTCAGAGTCCGATACACCCTAAATAAAACAAGATTAGAAATGATATTACTTGAATCCAATTAATAATATAAAAAAACTACCGAAACATAAAATAAGTATTCTCAACCAGTTAGCGCAAAACATAATTTGGATCAGCAGCAGTTAAGATTATGAAAACTATATATTGTTAATTCAAAATTCAGTAAAATATCCCATTGTTATATTTGTTTACTTAAACCACTCAGTCAGTCACAACGTAGGGCTTGTACGTATATACATCGGTTCAAGTTGCCACAGATATCCGTCTTCTGAGGTAAGGTCTCAACAAGTACAGAGCTAACACGAAAATTACTCATAAAAAGGTCGTGTGTGACCGACCTCAAGCACTTGTCCCTTCGGCACTGCGGTCACGCTCTCAGATCATTAAGACCAATCCCAGTCCAATTTCCTTTTCAGATACCCCTAGAAGAACCCTTCCACGGTGTGGGCAACCAGGAAGTCATAACCGCCCTCATACCTCTAACAGCACTCAAGATCACTGTGTTCATGACCGGTTTCCCTCTTTAATTTCTATTGTTCCTCCCACCTACACTATCAAATCTAAACTTCCTCCTCAGGTGTCACCATAGAAAACGATTCTAGTGAGCAAAACACTGTCCCAGATCTACTGAAACCTCACTCCAAACTACACATTAGAACCTTCAACGTACGCACTCTATGTCAAATCGGTCAGCAGGCCTCCTTGGCTAGAACCCTAGAATCTCGTACCATTGATGTACATTGTGTCTCCGAAACACACATACAGGATACTAGTGTGGTTATTCACTTGACCTCACCGACAAGATACACCCTCCGTGTATCTGGCCACTCGATGGCTAGTTCTCGTGGACTGGCAAGTGTAGGCATAGCACTAAGCATGAGGGTGGAACAAACACTATTAGAATGGATACCCATTAACAGTCGTCTATGTGCTGTTCGGCTAAACGGCTCCGTAAGAACTCGGAAGGATAGGGACACACGTCGTTGCCTTTTCGTCGTTTCTGACTACGCTCCCACTGACTGCAGCCCAAATGAAGTGAAAGATGACTTTACTGAACGCTTTCTGAACTAATTCAAAAAGCTAAACGCTCCGACATGGTACTCGTAGGTAGATTAAGCCAAACAAAAAGACATTTAGGTGGGTATTTTAGTATTCCGGCACAGAGAACAGATAATGGTGATCGTCTGCTGCAACTGTGCTCAGAAAATCGTTTATTTTTAGCAAACACAAATTTCAAGCATAAAGGAGAGATATCGTCTAACATGGGGACCCTCGGCACCAAACCAACGATGCACTCAAATAGATCATATTGCCATCAGTCATCGTTGGAGAGGGTCAATAGAAGATTGTCGCTCATTCTGGAGTACCTGCTTGGACTCCGACCATGCCCTAATACGAGTATGCATCTGCTTGCGCCTCACTGGACGCAAAAAAGCCAGACAAAAAAGACTCATTAGAACCGAATTGAGTAATGAGAAAACCAAAAGTAGGTTCCAGGAACAACTGAGGTCACACTTAGGTAGTTCAGAAAACGAGGCTGACCCAGATGTTGCTTGGAAAGTTATACAAGCAGCTGTGGAAACAGCAATGACATCTATTAGTGATTTAAACCACAGGGTTACAAAGAACCAATGGATTTCTCCAAGGTCTATTGCATTGATGGATTCTCGCAAACTCATCCCATCAGGCTCCGAACACAATGAAGAGCGTAAAGAAATCAGATCTAGGTTATGCAAAAGTCTAAGCAACGACCATGAGCAGTGGTGGGCAACGAAAGAAAAAGAGATGGAAAGGGCGGCGGCTATAAGGAACACACGACAGCTCTACAGACTAATAAAAGAAACTGGAGTTGAAAAGTCAAGTGTAAGTTAGACTATCACGGAAAAAGACGACACTCTAATCTGCTCCCAGTCCAGCAGTTAGAAAGATGAGCGGAACATTTTAACTGGCACTCAGTTAATCTACAACTACCACCATTCCCAGAAAGCCTGAATGGAACATTGAAGAGAGGGGCGAAATCATCCTGTGACAACCATAGAGGGACTAGTTTGACTAACATAGCATCTAAAATACTAGCGTCAATAATTATCGGTCGCCTAACTAACTCCTGAACTGCACACACGCGAAAATCAAGATGGCTTCAAATCTGGTCGTGGATGCATAAACTACATATTCACCATTCGTCAGGTTCTAGAACACAGACATACTTATCGGCGTCCGACAATGGTCGTCTTTCTCGACTTAAAAGCAGCATTTGACTTCGTAGACCGAGAAATTCTGTGGCAGTGTCTGTCATTGAAAGGCGTATCTCAGAAGTACATAAACCTTGTAAAGGCTCTTTACTCGAACACTACTAGTCGAGTCAGAGCTTATGGCGAACTGTCATCTGCTCTCGCAACCTCAAGTGGTGTCTGTCAAGGCTGCCCACTTTCTCCATTTTTGTTTAACTTCATCATAGACCTACTGATGGAAATAACGTTCTCATCGACTGAATTCTCGGGCGTTGATCTCGGGTAGCATTGAGCAACAATACCAGAATGTTTGGAATGAGCTTCTCTCCCTCTAAATACAAGTTGTTGCTTCAGGACTGGTCTGCGTCAACACCTGAACTAAGGATGAGGAGTGAAGTAGTTGAACGCATTGACAACTTCACTTATCTTGGAAGTCTGATCAGCCCTAATGGATTGGTATCTGATGAAATCTCAGCACGGATTCGAAAAGCTCGTTTGGCTTATGCCAACTTACGTTACCTATGGCAAAGTCGAGATATCCGTCTATCAATTAAGGAACCAATATACTTCACGGCAGTTCGTTCTATCCTACTTTACGGCTGAGAAATGTGGCAATTAAGAGTAAAAGATCCTCGTAAGCTACTAGTATTTGATCACAGATGCTTTAGAAAAACTGCTCGCATATGCTGGGATCACTGAGCAAGTAATAGTGAGGTTAGACACAGAGTACTAGAAAATGATGGTAAATCAGTTGATGAGGTTATGAATCTTCATCGACTGAGATGGTTGGGCCACGTGTTGGGTATGCCTGAACACCGATTACCACGACGCGCAATGCTAACCGATGTTACGGATAATTGGAAGTTAGGGGCGGCGAAACCGAAACGTTACATCAGTGCTTGAAGTCACTAACTTCTGGTCTGATCCATGTTGGTAGTTGCAGACTACTTGGTTGGAGTCCGCGTGACTATCGTAATCAATGGCTGGAGACTCTTGGTGACATGGCTCAGAATCTATCACAATGGCGTCGGTGTATACACTCTCTGTCTTCCTTTAAACTATGAGATTATAATCGCTGCATATCGTTTTACGTACTTATTTTTTCTTCCTGTACTATGTTCTTATATGCAATCTTTCTTTTATATATTACCACCATTGAATTAACTACTTCTATGAATCCGATGTTCATCTTGTTGTGCTAATGCGGTATGGCATCTTGTATCAATGCAAGAATTACGACTAGTAATTCTTTTTATTAAATGCTAGAAATGAAAGCTAGGGAAACTACTGATTATTTAAAATAAACAATTGCATTGAATGATTACTGGATTGTTGTATATTATATTTATTAATGAGAAGATGCACTTGTAAATGTTTTCAGTTTGCCTAGTCGTGCCCCCAAATGCCCTGGTATGGCCGAGAATGGGGTGGGTTCGCCCTTCCTCTCGAAATACTCTCACACGGCCATGCGTATACAGCCTCTGTCAGGGAAGTCCTACTCACTGCCTTCTCGTGGCATTACTGTTGTTTACGAAAATGAGAGGACGAAAAGCGAATGTCCGGCGCTATAACCGGATCTCAAATCAATGGTGCACATGGGATCCAGGATCCTGCGGGAACAAATGGCGTATGAACCAATTTTTGGTTATCGGCTTCCAAGGGACTGCATCTCCTCACGATGCTCCACTGCCTTGTGGACTAGACCTCTAGGTCAAAGGCTCGGAGTGTGGCCCCCTAAGAAAACCACCTGCTTCGGTCTGGTCACCCGGGCAGTATCCCAGCCTACGAACTAAAACATGAATAACTATATACTTATGGAAAATATTCTTTTCGCTCCGATTTACACTGAAATGACTCGCACCGCTATTATTATTTTTATTATTATTATTGTTATTATTATTATTATTATTTAAAACGTCATCTATTCACTCACTTTTATTTCCACTCTGTCCATCCTTATTTTTCGACTTATACAACAGCTCGCCTATGGTGAAAATTCGGCTCTATCTAAACGCTCTCGGGTCAGTGATTGCTCGAAAATCGAATGCTACCACCAAATACGAATACTGAAGCAGTCTTTCTGAAACCGCGTACACCCTTCAAACTGGCTTCCATCAACGTTCGCACACTTATGCAGGTCGGACAACAGATAGGGCTGGCTATGTCTTTGGAAAGCCTTAATATCAACGTCTGTTGTCTATCCGAGACCCGTATTCAAGACTCTGGTGAAGTACTACAAATTCGCTCTCCATCTGTCGCTTCAAAAAGCTTGTTTTATGTGCGTTTATCCGAGGACCCTGTGGCATCTTCGCCTGATCTTGCTGGCGTTGATATCACACTAAGCGCTAGAGCTGAGGCAGCACTAATCGAATGGATCCCCATTGACAGTCGGTTCCATCAAAGTGAGAAGAGATCGGCGTGAGAAACGGTGTCTTTTCGTCATCTCCGCCTATGCCCCGACAGATTGCAGCCCGGATGCAATCAAGGATGAGTTCTACCACCAGTTAACTGTTCTTCTCCAGAAAGTGCGTTCGACAGATATTGTAGTACTAGCTGGAGACTTGAATGCTCAGGTCGGGCGTCTAGGCACAGAAGAGTCGTTTAGGTGGCCGATGGGGACCTGATGGTCGCAGAACAGATAACGGGGAACGTCTACTGCAACTATGCACAGACCACAACCTGTTTCTGGCTAGCACTAACTTTCGGCACAGTCATCGCCGATGTGACACCTGGCATCCTCCTTCTGCATCTCAAGCCTGGGCTCTGATTGATCATATCGCGATCAGCTACCGCTGGTGTGGTTGTGTACAACACTGCCACTCCTTTTGGAGTACCTATCTGGAATCTGATCATGCCCTGGTCTGTGCCAATCTTACCTTACTTTTCAGTGGACAACGAAGTGACCGCCACCAAAGGATTGATGTTAGCAAGTTGGCTGCAACTTCTGTTGCAAGTAACTACCGAACCGAGCTAGCTTCTAGGCTAGCCACTATTCCACCGAAAAGTATAAATGAGCATTGGTTGCAATTGCATGACGCCATGAAAATGGCGGGTACAGTCTGTTGTGGGTTCGCGAAACGTCCCGCTTACAAGCACTGGGTTTCTTCTGGTTCCTTACAACTAATCGAAGCCCGTCGGTCTACTCCGGGTGACCATGAGTTTGACCACAAACGAAGGATGTTGCGTAATGAAATCGGGCAAAGCTTGCGTAAGGACCGAGAAGCCTGCTGGTCGGAGCGTGCTAATGAGCTGGAAGCAGCAGCTGCATCTGGTAATTACCGGAAGCTCTTCCAACTCATCCGAGCCACCGGCAGCAAGAAGTCTGGTGTGAGCGAAACAATCTGCGAGGATGACGGAACGCCAATCACTAACATCCATCGACGTCTTGGACGATGGGCAGAATTCTTCGAAGGGCAGTTCAACTGGCCTGCTGCTCCGGCAACATCGGTCAGACTGTCCTGCTCTCCATGGCCGGTGACGACTGATCCACCAAATGAGGCGGAAGTCCGCAAGGAACTCCAACTCTTGAAGCGTTACAAATCACCGGGTTAGACGACTTACCTCCGGCTCTTTCTAAAGATGGTGGTGACTTTCTGACTAAGTAACTGATTGTGTTGTTTACGAAAGTCTGGGAACTGGAGAGCGTACCAACGTCATGGAGTGAGCCGGTAGTTGTCCCTATCTTTAGAAAGGGTTCACGTCGTTCCTGTAACAACTATCGGTGATAAGTCTACTTCCGATTGCGTCCAAGCTGTTGGCTTCCGTTATACTTCGTAGGTTGTTCAAAACCCGAGAAAGATTGACTCGCGAGGAGCAGGCTGGGTTTCGTTCCGGTCGAGGATGTATTGATCATATCTTCACCCTCCGCTAAATGTCAGAACACCGTCATACTTATCAAAGGCCAACAATCGTAGTGTTTCTTGACATCAGGGCTGCCTTCGATTCGTTGGACAGAACTGTTCTCTGGGATTGTCTATTAAAGAAGGGTGTGCCTGAGAAGTTTATTAACATCCTGAAAGCATTATACACAAACACCTCAGGCAGAGTGAGGGCATACAACCACCTTTCTCCATTGTTCCATTCAAGCAGTGGGGTTAGTCAGGGTTGCCCAATCTCACCATTCCTCTTCAACTTTGCCATCGATGACATTCTGGAAACAGCTCTGATGGATGTAAGTAATGGTGGTGTGGATCTGTTGCCTGGAGAAAGACCTCTCGAAATTGAGTATGCGGATGATAGTCTTACTGTGCGATAATGCCCAAACCATGCAATCCACACATAATCAGTTGGCAATCAGTGTCCGTAGGTGTGGTATGTGCTTTGCACCTTCGAAGTGCAAAGTTCTTCTACAAGATTGGCAGGATTCTAATCCTGTACTCACTCTGGATGGTGAGCAGATTGAAGTAGTCGAGAAGTTCGTGAATCTGGATAGCTGCATAAGTGCTGGTGGTGGTGTGAGTGATGAGATCAATGCACGTATAGTGAAAGCCAGAGCGGCTTATGCCAATCTGGGCCATCTTTGGCGCCTTCGTGATGTTAGTCTGGCTGTAAAAGGTCGGATCTACAACGCAACGGTGAGAGCAGTTTTGCTCTATGCTTGTGAAGCCTGGCCTCTCCGAGTTGAGGATGTTAGACGACTCTCTGTGTTTGATCATCGTTGTCTCCGAAGGATTGCTGGCATCCAGTGGCAACACCATGTCAGTAATGCAGAGGTTCGGCATCGAGTGTTCGGTCACAGAGACGATAATGAAATTGGTGTCACCATCTTGAAACATCGACTTCGGTGGCTTGGACATGTTCTACGAATGTCGTCCCAGAGAATTCCTCGTCGTGCACTATTTGCCGACTCTGGGACTGGTTGGAAAAAGCAGAGAGGTGGTCAGTATATGACATGGTGTCGTGGTATGAAAGAAAGCTGCAAAGGGATGGCTTCTGTTGGTCCTTCACGACTCCCTGGCTGGGGTCCGAGGGACGGTGTAACACTGTGGCTAAAGATGTTATCAGATATAGCTCAGAATAGAAGCCAATGGCGATCCTGCTGTAACCTTCTTTTACTTCATAAAAAGTGGTTGTATCTTCCTTAACTGAAAGATTTCTTCTGATTGTACCTTTCCGTTTCCCCCATTATTGTTCTCTCTCTTTTTTTTTCATAATTCCCCACGTTCATTACCTTTTTTTTCTCCTCTTCAAATTATCATTGTTTTGTGTGGCGCATATATATTTGGTGCCCCCCTTCTGTACCAATATTTATGTGTTCAAATAAAATAATAAAATAAATAAAATAAAATATTGCTAGTCGTACTTTGATATCTAACCTTTAACCAACCACATGACAACTAAGCACTGTTACAAATTCAATCTTGATATGTTTAATTACTTAAAGACAACTAACAATCTACAACTCACTTATTAACCTACGAAAATCGAATTCAGCCCACTGACTAGACTTTTCATAAAAATCACAACTAGAACATCTAGTTTAGTATTTCATAAGCGACTATCCGTAAAAATTAAAATTAAGATAATGAGAAATGATTACGATAATATTAAGATTATATGAAGCTACGTATTAAAACTGATGCATATAACACGAGGAAATTTTCTCAATGACACGTCAAAATTTCTGTCACAGTACTTATCTGAGGTCCTTGCTCCAAAGACCAGATTGCAAGGTCAGAATTTTGCCCTAGTATAAAAATGTGTATGAATTTATTTAACCAGTATGAACTTGTGTTTAGCTTTGAGCTGTACTTTTTATATGAGAGGGCTAATGATATAAATTAGCTCTCCCCTACCAAAGTAGATGGAGCAGCCAGAAAATCTATAGGCAAGTGGCTTTATCAAAGTTTACAAAATTGCCAGGGGTCAGATTTCCGCGAGAGTTTAACTGGTCACTTGAACGAATAGTGGCCAATTGATCACCAATTTAATTTACCGATGGTCATTGTTTCAATTCAAGGGATCAATGAAATGATTTCCTGAGTGACAATCGATCAAATATTCCAGAGTAGGTAGTTGATCAACAGCACATTTTTATTTTCACTGATGTGACACCTGAACTAGATAGTCACGTATAAAAATCCCACTCTATCTACAAATGCATTTGAGAAAAAAAACCATGATACATATATGTACAGCAAAAAGCAATATCAATATTTTGAATTAACCTGACTCACTCGACTAATGGCATCAAGCACATCGCTCAAGTAATTTAACGTCTCTTTCCTAGTTATTTTCATCACATTGAAAAGGGCTTCACATGCATAATGTCGTACGCGTGGGTCGTTATCATGGAATGTGCGAATTATAGGTAAAATTATTGGTCCATGAAAAAAACGTGCATCCTAAATAGGTTGCAATATACAGTAATATACAACTGCGTTACCTCATTTAGTCCGATCGCCACAGAAGCTAGACCAAATAAACCACCTTTCCGAGTATGAGGGTTGGCAGACTGAATAAAGTCCTGGCTGAAGTATCCAATGATCCGAGAAATATCTGAAAGCTTATCCTGACTAATATAATCCTTGACAACTCTATATTCACTGTAAGTACGCAATACGAATTACCTTTCGATTTCTTGGGATGCCAATTTGCGTTTATCAAAAAGCTTATCCACAAGGTTCTTTACACAGCCGGACGAAAGTGGAGCATAATCGCGATCCATGGTTGTAGTACCTACAGATGTTAATAAAGTTTATGCTCAACCTAAGATTTGAGAAATGAAACCAGCAACAGATACAGCGCACTGACCCTAAAGATACAGAATCACGCCTAAGTAAATATGAACGTCAGGACGACAAGGGAAAAGTTCAAAGGGGCTTTTTATTTGAACCCAGCCTATAGTAATATAAGCACATGAGTCTGGTAGCTGTCAAACCAGTAAAGTCTATCGCCAAATTAGCGAAAATGGCCTTTAATTTATCAGAAAACCGGTAGTCGAAAGTGAGATAAATCATACAAAATACGGTCAGAGTTTAATTTGTGGACGACCTTTGAGCAACGTTAGAATGACCTTGAGATGTCCACATACTTACCAGGGTTAAATGAAGGTTATATATTTGTGTGAGGAATTAGGATTGGGATTTACAGCTGGATGTCTGGGTTAGGAATTAGATTTAATATTTTCATCACGAACTGACATCAGCCAAATGAGTGAGTGAATTTTGCACCAAAATCCAAGATCTGCTATTTTAAATTTGATTGGTACGTTCATAAATTAGTCTCTCCAAGAAGACTTAAAACACCCGAAGCGGATATATATATATAACAACGACCAAAATTAGTATTAATTCATTATACATATTAGCGTAATAACTATTTACACAAAATTACCATCTTCGGCTGCAAACCAATGTCCCGGAGAAATTTTATAATCTTTTGAACAAGTCAATAACATTGTTTTTTGATTGCATTTAAATAATAGCAGACTCTGTTATGGTAAATAAATCCCCAAAAGAAATTGCTTTGTAAGTTTTCGACATTGGATGCTGACCACATTAGTTTTAATGGACTCATCTAGCTGAAGGCACTCGGTCATGCATCCACAGCAGATCACGTGTGGGAACGCCGTGCTCAACATCTACTGCAATCGCTAGCCAGATTAGATCAGACGATCTTCGATATATTGATAGCCTATCAAATATATCTTCGAACCTCCTCGCTTCTGTCTTTTGATTTCACTTGGTGGGTACGATTCATAGTAGAAGTTTTTACTGGTTAATGCGTTGTCAAACTCCGAATACCTGTGGCATCTTCATTAGGAAGACCGATGTGATCTGGTACACCGAATCGCAAACTGTGTGTCTGTTCCTTTTGGTGATTTTATATATCATTGCTTTATTTCAATTTTTATATATTGTGATATTTCCTCCGTGTTTTGGATATATATATATATATATATATATATATATATTTCTCACTCGTTAATTCACGTACTTGATATTTCACCATGACTAAACAGACATTTAGGGTACTTAAGTTAAAGACTGTGTCCCTGAGGGCATGGCGTCAACGACACACGTGCACAATTCCTCGCAGTAGTCAAGGCACTACCGCGCGAATTCAACAGGTACGTAACACCTAGTATGTTTACTGGTAATGTTTCTGAACCATACTAAACTCTTAAAAGATCCATCCTTAAACGCGGAGATCTAACCGATTGACAAAGGTTAGACCAACTCCTTAACAACATCAACCTGCAACACGGTTCTGCCACAGACATGTTGCAAAGAATGAGAGAAGTTATCGGCCAAAGAACCTTCGATGATGGCCTGTTCAAACAACTTTCCTTATCCAAACTTCCTCAACAGGTTCAAGCTGTACTCGTCTCGTTCCAAAACAACGCCGTAGACAAGCTGGCTGCATCTGCCAACCGCATCCTCGAAATCACAAAATCTTCTAATGCTGATGGTGCAAACCAAACTGTCTTACTCGACTCAAGAGATAAAGTAAGTGACTGCGGACTGCGATCCAAAGAAAGGGTTAGCTAAATTCAGTGTATATATGTGACTAAATACCGATGTCTGTTTGTATATTACTTTCTGATAAATATTTATACTGAAATTATTTCCTGTCCATCTGATTTTCAGCTGGATTCGCATGTGCTAATTGACGCAACTGCAAGCTTTTTGTTCAGAATACATTATTGTTAGACCGCTGGTACGTAATCAACCTTTTATATGGCAGTCAGGATTCGTAAGGTGGATGATTTCTATGATATTTGTTTGGTTAACAAAGAGTAAAATTTTTTTCTCTTAACAGAATATCTACTTAACGTACTTCACCAAAACACATGATTAATTATTAGGAATTGGTAGAAGTTATGTATTAATAGATAACTCGTACTTTATTAAACTTTGACAAATATTTTCATGTGTGACGAATCAGTCTTTTAATTACAGCAGTGCTGATTTATCGCGACATATCGGTTTCTGTTACCATTTGTAGTTAAACTGCTCTTGTACTGCGTTTACTGTGCCAAGTTAACAGGAAAAAGTAGAATACATGAATAGAAAATTTTGAGTAATTACTACTTAAGTCGCCAAGTTTTTCTCTGATATCAGTTGAAATTTGTGGACAAATATCGCGTTGAAACAATAAATTTTGTGGAGTTTCCAAAAAATAATAAGTACTCAAAAGTTTCTATCCATGCATTTCACTTTTCCTTATTAACTTCGCACAGTAAACGCAGTACCTCAACAATTTAACTACATATGGAGGAAAGTTTAGGGTTTTTGAACCATTTCACTGAAATTTTCTATAGCGGCTTCCCTAAAACGGGTAAAAGCTTCCCTCAAATCGGGGGATTGGGATACTCAAAAACCTTTGTTAATAACACTAAGGATGTATGTAAATTATATGTGCATCGCTGTTTGCATCACAAACCGTCCAATAACCAGACATTTGTTGGCCATTTGCATATTCTGCCTCCACGTAGATGAGTACCGATGATAGATGAACAATACTTTTAAATGACCCCCGGAGCGAAAACCTCGTAGAATTCAACCTTCAGTAGATTTGTCTTTGGCATGAAAGCACTCAGTTCTGAAATCAGAAAATAAAATTTCAAATTTATTTGCAATTAATTTCAATGTTTGGATATGCACAATGCAGGAATAGAAAAGTAGAGCAAAAAAACGTCGCGATGCCATAGTGTCGTTACTTTAAATTCAAAGACACCGCTAACTACAACTTTGCGGGTAGATTCCAGCTACTAAAGTTTATAGGCATTATCAGCAGTAAAAGTGGGCTTTCTTAAAAAAGTCTACGCAAAATATGCTATTCATGCATTGTTAATCTTCAAGCCAAAAGTCATAATGAGACGTTTAGCTTATACTACTCCTGATCTTTCCGTACTTTATAGGTTGTAAATTCCAAGCTCCTAGATGAATTGGATGAGGTTTCCCCGGACTGAATGCTTACTAGGCTGTTCTTCTTTGAACACATTTCAGAAGATTGATATCACTTCTTAAGCCATAGGGGTATGATATAGATTTTTAAAAACTAGGTTTTCAGTAATCAAGGAAAAAATTAAATGATTAAATAGTCATGCAACGAAAGCTAGAGACTGAGCATACTCGATGTGTTTTAAAACATCATATAGAGTGATTTTCATGTTGTTTTCCGTGGTAAAGAATGTGATACTGAATCATTTAGAAAGTTATGGTGACGTATATTCCGTGATTTTTTGTAACCACATTTTTATTCAATATCCGTTGTTTTTCAGTATCACTTATGTTAAAAAGATGATAATTGTTTTGATAAGATTTGAACACACTTTTTACTACCGCGCGGATTAAAATATAATACATTATCCACGTCATCTGCCCTTCTGCTTTATTCGCCACGGCCTTTGATCGAAGACTATAATAGTATTATAATGTCCTTATAGGCCTCCTTGCACTACGTTGGCATTTCGGCCCGGATCGCTATTGCATAATACTATTGGCCTCTGTCTTCCTAGTCACGACGTTGGTGCCATCAGTCGCATAAGAACCTACGTTAAATCAAGTGGACTTATTTGTGGTTGTCATCCCAGGGAGCAGCTTTCAAGTAACATTCATTCTGTAATAATTGTTATTACCATATTGTTCAATACACCACTTGTATTTATAATTGTAAATTTGTTACCCTTGGTTTTTTTACCCGTACACAGACACCTAGGGTTTCCACTGTTAACTCTTTTGGCATATTATTATTAGTAACCTGGTGTATTAATATATCTTGTATAAGCTTTTTTGCTGGGAACCACCACAAAGTAAGAAATGGATAGAATATCATCAATATTCACAGCTAGCATTCTACATTTTCTGGTATTGAAAGAGAAGACTCTTGGAACTCTATTAGTGCATCCCCTCGAAGTTATATTAAGCAAGTACGATTTCAGAGTGAATTAGTATATATCACCAGGTGGTTAAGCAGGCGAGTCTTTTAGTACTCTTTATGTCACCAATAATCAATCAGATATGACGGAGCGTAATCTTACGGCTTGTGATCTTTTACATATCTAATCCAAAAACCACTTCATCGAGTATGTACCAATGCTCACTAACATCAGATTTACTCATAGAATTTGATCATCAACTACATCATATGCCTCAGAAAAATCTCCGAGGCCTAAGTGTACAGAGCGTTCATGTTCAAATGGGAACCTTTAACCAGTAGGGTCGTATAAAACTGTCGTAATTCGGTGATACTAAAGTTGCCGTGTAAGTAATTTCACAAAGATTCATTTAGAACACATTACTTGATTTCAAGGACAACTAAGAGTGCGAAAATTGGTTCGTATTTGAAAGCTTTCAACTTCCTAGCGCCATGAAAAAACCTATATCGGTCAGCAACCCTTGACAAAAGAATATTTGAAGAAACTTGCAAAAGGAAGGTTAATAGTGTTTAGGTGTTCTTTAATGAACAAAGGCCAGATTATATCTAAGACAGCAGATCTACATAAGTTCGAAAGGCCCAGAATCTCACCGCCTTTGAGAGGTTCAAGCTCACTTAGGTCAACATGAAAAAAGATGCAGCAGCACTCAATGGACAGAGATATAAGATGAGGAGGAACAGAACGGAAATTCCTTACTTAGTAGCTCAGAAACATCATTATGAGAGGTGTGGACCGTTAAAAATCTTAACGCAAAATATATAGGCGTTAAGAAGGGCATAATGCAAAATAGTTGGTACGTTACGGAAACTACACGTAATGTTCTACAAATCCAAATATTGTAAGGCAATGTTCACTAACAAAGAACCTAAATTTTGGCTTTTTATGTCGAAGATTGTGTATAGATTAGATCTACATATTGTCGGATACTAAAGAACTTACTACTACGAAAATAGAATGTGACTGAATACTTTTAATAATAAGCAGTGGTGCTTAAAATGGCAACTGGAACTTAATACGGCTAAATGTGGATGGATATGCTTCGGCGATACATCACTTAACCTAGACCTTACCATAAATGGAGAAATGTTATCTAGGTTACGTACAGTAGTAGACTTAGGACTTAGATACTCCCAAGACTTATCGCTTACAGAACAGATATCGAAACAGACCTCCAAGTCACAACGACTAGTAGGTTACATAATTCGAAACCTTCATAACAATGAATCACGAATTTTAATGTACAAAGTTTGTGTTCGACCTCTTCTAGAATATTGCACGTTTATTCTTAGCAGTGCGCGCATAAAGGATAAATTAAG